TTTTAATCTTTTTAGGTATTCTAATAGCTTCCTTGCCAAAGAGTATTAACTTTCGATAATTACCACCGCGATTCTTTGTGTTCCAGTTTAATAGCAATCTTTTAATCTTTTTTACCTATTATTCATCGGCAACGAGCAGACGATAGTAATTTCTAGTTTCGTACTTTCGACATGGATTTCGAAGTATCCGACATCCGACAATATTTCATTCTTTTATCAAAACGTGTTTTTTTTTCTGCATAAATTAAAAGCTCGATAGCTCGTCGCTTTTCGCTGCAGTCACTTATCGAGCATGTAAATCTGCTGTCACTGTTTCCCGGAGACAATGTAGCAACGGATTTCACGATTCCCCTCGGGTCATCTCGTTACCATATCTCTCGGCGCACAACCGATATATACTTGTCCGTTGCTGAGACAAAAGGGACGACATTAATTTTCTCATCGGAGATCAATGCCAGAAACAAATGCGATTGCACAGACATCCAGTATCAATTTTCTTCTGTCGTTTCGGTCGTCTGACGTTCGAAATCAAATTACTAGAAATCGGATTATGTACTAGCGTATCTCAGACAATAACTGTCTGGAAGATTCACGAAACTCGGCGAAACTTTTTGAAACGTTAGCGACGGAGTAACACTAGCCAAAAATAGAAGGGATGGCGCTACGTGTTGACGCTTGTGCAGAAGCCGAGAATCGTGGGTGAGAAGTACGGTATCTCTCGAAAAGGATCACTCCTGCGCCACTCTCGAGACACGTTCGCGTGGGTTTCGTTCGTTATTGCTGATCGAACGAGCAACGACCCACGCTCGACTCCTGTCTTCCTCCTGTCTGCCCCCGCAGGTGCGAATCTTTTGCTCTTCCTCCGTATTGCCCGAATAACGCACACGCTTCGACTTCCTTTGCAGTGAATCTCGAACCGATTTCATTCACGACCTACTACTATTATTTCGCTCTCGACGACTCGTTGCTCCGTTATCGACTCTTCAAAATACATATACGTAGCATCCTGTTCGATTCCTTTCGTTCTATCGTTCAGATACCGAACACGTAAGATAACACACTTATTATTATTATTTTTATTTATTTAACACTTTAATTGGACACGCGTCAAATTTCGACGAATCTTTGATAACTAAGCTCAAAGTTCGAGTTCGATCAAAATGCCCTATAAGTCATCGTTTAGAATTATTCGGCGCTTAGAAGAAAAAATCGAAAATTTGTGCACGCGTGTTACGGAATAAAGTTTCGTAAACAGTCTCGTTGGTCAACAAGTTGATTACCGTGCGGGAAGGATCATTACATAACGGGCGAAGTCAAGAATGGGAGACGGTCGAGCGTGGCGGTGTTACTGAATGAAAATAAAGATAACGCTTCGTCATCGAGTGCCCACGCGAGCCGGCAGTCGAGTTTCAGCGTTTTCGGATTTGCACGCGGCATCCTACGCGCGGCTCGCCTTGCTTTGCCTTTTCTTTCCTGCCGCTTTCGCGTTCGGCTCGAAACAGACAAGGAGAGGCGAAAAGCGAGCGTGTACCGTCTATTGACGAAGCTGCCCACGCTCGGCTGCCCGCCCGCGTGCCTGCATTCGTCGAACATCGCGCAGCCACGGCACAGGTGCGTGTCGCTATTGATGGCTACTTACGATTAGCACCGATGTCATTGTTCCCTGGCTGTTGAAACACCTTTGACCCTGAACGTATCGGATCTTTGCAAAGATAACGAAATTTTTACGCTTCGTATCGTTCAGACTTTTCGATCTTAAGGATTTCGACCTTTCGACCTTAAAATGCACGTATAATTTTCAACGTTTCTTTGTCGAAATTTACTTTTGTGGACGCGATGATCAAAAACAAAATGGCGCGTACCAAGAGGCTCAACCCTTTAAGCTGAATCGAGGACGATAAGTATGTCGATGACTCGTCAGCACTGAAATAGCTTCGTCAGGGGATCGAGGATTTGATACCGTGATAGGTTATAATATAAGCATCGGTATAACGATGGTAGCACCTTTACCGCTATTGTGGTAGTAAGGGTGCTATTGTCACAGTGTGATTAGTATTGCCTGTGTCCTTAGTATAATTAATTCAATTAGTATTGTTCTGTTACCTATGCTACTGTGATATGGATATCGTCGCGTAATTAGTATTACTCTGTTATAGGTATTACTCTGATACTGATATCATAGCATTACTATATTAATATTAGAACTATTATTTCTGCGTTTGTTATGAAATACACATATTATTCGTATTTTACGCGTATCGGTTAAAGACCAAAGTATAGCGTTATCGCGTACTCCTTCGCTGGTTGCTACCTACTTCTGTTTCTTTACTTCCGAAAATAAAATTTACAATCATCGTAGACGGAAAATCAACTTGAAACTGTTTTTGAACGAACTTTCAGAAGCTTTAGGAAGCGATTTCTTTCGTGGACCGCAAACTGGTACCACTGAAAATCTTGAATCCCTCTCTCGTAAACCTTGGTCTACGGAGCTGTGTAATTCATGAACTTAAGATTTTATATCGGCTTAGAAAGTTCGAAGTCTTCGCGGATCTCAAAACCTGCGAAACTTTCGAACCGTCTAGGTTTCGAAAACTTTGAAAATTAGAATTCTTCGTTGCCAAGAATCGACTCCGCATTTCGAGCGCTCAATTTATTTGCGAGACGACAAACTCGTAAAATTCAAAAATCTAATTATCGAGGGTGAAAGTTTTATTAATTCCCTCGATCATCTTTTGAACCGAACAAAATTTACTGATTCGGAAGAGGTGGACGTAAAACGTATATTTCAAGGTTCATTAAATTTTTTTTTCGTGTCGTTGGAACTTTACGGAGGAAAATATAAACAAATATGGTTGAATTTTTATCACCAGCGTTCGAAACATGGCGCGTTCAAAAATGATCGTGTTGCGTCCATCGCTACACGTGTGCGTACACGCACGGGCACCCACGCCAATGGTCCAGCATTTATTCAGCGAAACGAAGCAGCGATTTTTCAACGGGTTCGAACCATGAATGGGCGGTCGTTCCTGTTGGTTTTGCACACAAGCCGCCCGCGTACCTTTTTTACTCGTCGGTTTTGTGCATGCTTGGCGCCATCCGATGGACATAAGCTTTTCTTCTCGAATAAAGAACGAAAAAGAAGATTAAAAGACGCGGCAGGACTAGTTTGTCTACTTTTCACGGCGGGATTATGGAATCGTTTTTAATTTGCTTTATTGATTTATGTGTCCTTCTACGAAACGGTGAGCCACAAGGACAACCAAGATTTTTTAACTGGTTGGTTGCCGTAGGATTCAATGGCGAATGTCAACGCGATATTTAGTGCACTGTTTTTGTCGGAAGAAAACTAAAGAAAAGGCGGTCATAACTTCCGTGAACCGAAGCTTCTCGAAACAATTCCAAGTTTTCGTAAGTGGTCATAGTTGGAATTTCTGGCGTCGAGTTTCAAATTAGGGAGAAACATCGGGTGAACAAGACGCAAACTCTGCACTAACGCCTCGTTTATTACGATAGTGTAAGAGCGTGAGTTAATAACTGTGTAATAACTGATGGATGGGATGCGGCTGGTTGACCGAAATGAATGGATTACACGTGTCAGTTAACCAGGAAAGCAAGCTTTTCGAACAACAGCCACCACGTAATCGCGTCCCTTCTGTTCGCCAGTAATTTTCTTCGATCACGATAATTGTCTTCTAATGACAGGCTAATTTCGAAACGCGACACCGCTAATTCGACACGGCTTCGTGCATTGTTACAACGCCCACAAAACGAATAAATATTTACGAGCCGGCTTCCAGCCGTGTAAAGTCATCTACACTGAAAAGGCCAACGGGGTTCTTGATACTTCCGCTCGTCTAGGGAAAAAATGGCGTCGTGAAACCGTGTCAACAATCAGTTAAAGTATCATCGATATCTCTGATCGACGATACCTCAGGAAGTGATTATATTCATTTATTTATTCAACGTAGGTTGTGATACGAATCGACGTATGAGAATAAATACATGTAAGCCAACAGAACACGATGGATGCATGAAGTATTAAAAGTAATGTCGATACTTGCAAATAATTTAATTTAATCTCCACAATATAAAAAGTCGAAAACATTCCGGAAGGATTTCTATTATTTTTGTGATGCGTTTTCAATCTCATGGAGGAACAATTTTCTATCAGGTATCCGTAAATCGTTCGATAAAGGTGATGCCAGTCGCGGTGTCAGGAACAAGTGAAAAATGACAAAAGCATACGGGGAGAGAAAGAGAGGCTGATTCGATAGCTTCCTATCCGATAGCTTTCTCAAGTTACTTTTGTTCGAGGACTTGTCACGGCCAGCCGTCGACACAGCAGAAGCCTCGCCTTTACGCCGGAGGCGGTTCTCTGTTAACTGCACAAATAGTGTCAACTTACGATCTACGCACCGAAAATGAAAATCGATTAACCCCTAGTCAAACATTTCTAGTATGTCAAGTGTCCGTTGCGATCGTGTCGAAGCGTAAAATGACACGAGGGACGAATATTAACCCTAAACGAGTACCCCATTTTGATAAATGTAGAAAGTGCTTTTTAAAATTTTTCTAAATAACGCTTGAATAATTCTCTCGCTAAATTTAGTTGTCAAAGTAACGATCTATTTAAAAAGCGGTAACACATTTCTCTAACTAGGGTTCGAAGTAGACGTGCCACGCTTGGTGCACGTTTTCCGTATGAAGATTTTGCTGATCTTATCAGAATATTCGCGCGACACAGGTCATCCTTTGGCAGATGGCCAACCGACATTATTTGTAGCCCAGATTTTGACTTACAACGTCGATTCTGCAGAAATTTATTCAAATTTTTACACGAGTACTTATTTAACGAGCTACTTGCTACAGAATTTTGAAAGTTTAAGTAATTTTATTTAAAATTTTAATTCCGTTTAATACCTGAATGTAATAAAACCGAGTAAGGACTATTGTAAAATTAATTTTACGATAGTACAATTGAGAGAAATATTCGAACTCACCCCTGACGTTTGATGGTCGATGAAGCCGCGCTTCGGGTACAATATGTACAACGACGATGAACGCTTGAAGCACCAATGAATAGCGCATGGTTCCTGCTGGGCCGGAAATGCACCTTACAATATGTACGCGACAACCAATGGAATCGAAAAGCTTCCGTTCTTTATACCGTCACAACGTAATCTGCAACAAATACAAACAAACCGTTTTACCAGAGATTTCGTGCACTTGTTGGTTTTGTGAAGCTGTTTGACAGTTGTTGAGGTATTTCATTTCGACGTTTAATACTGCATGTGCCACAGGAGTCACCGGTGGCCTACGGCGTTGTTCACTAGATTATTAAAAATTCGTTCGTACAATTTGAAAGAATCTGTGTGTAATCCATAAAGCACAGTTGCAGGAATAACCGATTCAATATCAGAACGGTTGTAACTTAGGAACTAGGTCAGCCTGGACAAACGTTTATACAAAGTTTTTCGATTACTTTCGCGTTATTTTATGAAAGGTTTTGTGGGACAGGTGAGAAGGTAAACTCTCGAGAAGAGGAATTAATTTGCAGAATGTTGTACATTTGTTTCGAAATATTCATCGACGTACCCTGTGTAGAAAACATTTCTTTTCTTAAATCGAGCAACGTACTTTGGCTAATTTCAAGCTCCCTCGAGTCGGATCGTTTGCTTCTCAGATCATAAGGGGTTAAGGTTAAAATTTCGTAAGATAAATCCCACGAATGCTTTTGTAGCAGCTTTTGGTCCAAGGTACGTACCTTGTTACGCGAGATTTTCATGGTCTAGCAAGTAACGCTTGGTAGTTATGGTAATCGGATTTGGCCGGGCTATGGCCAGCCCCATGATTGGATCTGACAACCGAACTGGCCCTTTCTCACAGTTTCTCACCGAATAGTCGGATTTACCGTACACCGTGACTTACACGAACGACCGTTTCTCAGAATTTCGGTCAAATTTGAGAGCAACGATTATACCATTTAGTCACCCAATACGAATCCCGGATCGAATATTATTAAATTATCTTTAAATGAAGTATCGTGCTCTTGCGCGTTAATCTCTTTATTATACCGGTAGATGTTACTTATTTATCATTTAGCAATTCTCTTTGTAGATATTATTACGTGGAAACATGCGAGAACACGCTGTATAGTTGGTAAATATTAGACATTAAGAGCGTGTAAACGATTTACAATTTTCTGGAATAAGCAAGAATTCTCGCAACGATAATAGCGGCACTTAAGGCCATCTGGACTGCAGCTTAATCAATGAGTAGCTTGTCCTAATCGAATCGAACCCTTACTCGTTTGCCAAGCTGAACGAATTTAATGCGAACAAACGGCTCGTTCGAACGAGATGCGACCGTGGAATATTTATAAGAGAGGCGGGGTTTAAAAGCATCTCCTGTCATTTGAATAGAGTTGTCGCACGTGTAACGCGCCACACAAGTCGCGGATATTAAAGAAGATTATACTATCGCGAAATAAATGCTGGTGTAAGTAATGCACGCACGATAATTGCTACTTCCGTCCGATAAAATTATTAGAACATTAAAAAGTTCAAGAATCCGTTTTGTTTGCAAAATTTATCAATATCGTTGATTAAACCAACAAGATTAACAATCGTTGAAATATTGAGACTTACAGAACCGACGGCATACACTTTGATTCGCGCGATAGAAAACAATTTTCGCGGTCCACTTCGATCTTTTAACTTTTCCATGCAATTATCGATGCATTATCGGTCTTCCACTTGGCAAAATTCGATTCTATGCTTTATATCGGTCCGCAATTGTAAAACACGCTATGTAACAGTTTGGGAATATAACGGCAATGTTCGATCGAACCTCCAATCCAATCACAAATTCCATTATATCTCGCTATTCCGTTCATCTCACTATTCCATTAATGTCTTGAACTACATTTATTATTGAATAAATGGTACTAACGGTAAGTTTTTCGCGGGAAACGAATTTTTTCGACTTTCTAGGTAAGAGATACTTTAATAAGTTTCCACTTCGTACATTTAAAATTGCGAAAATTATTCAAATGCTGGACGTAAATATCGATGAGTTGCTTGGCGTACGAATATTTGAAATATCTGGAAAGCGCGTTTGCGTTCGCGTGATTACTACGCTAAAATATTACAAGAAGTAATTGAAATTCTTATACGATTAGGTTGTACAAAAGCTCCTTAGCGAACGGAGAAATTGAATGGTATCCGACTACAATGGACAACAATGAATGAAGACACGCGAAGCGAGAATCGGAGCTGCGAAGGGTCCACTCGAAAAAAGATGCATGTGGGCAGACGACAGCGAGAAAACGGTCCACGAAGTGAGAGGCACCGGAAATGCATTCGAGCAAATGTTAGGAGCGCGTGGGTAAACGCGTGTGAAAATGCGTGTATCGGAGGGAAAAGGTACGAGAACGAGAAAGCGGCTAAAGCGGAAAAGAACAACTAACCGAGTCGTTTGAACAGGATTTACTCCCACGAACGCGTATCGACGTTCGCCTCCGACTAATTCTGTTACGTTAATAGCGGTTAATTGACAGGTTCGACAACGATCCAGAATATTTTAAACAAAAACAGCACGCCTCGCTACATCGTTGTGCAAGCCGATCACTTTTTCGGTTAAACCTACAGAATTCGGTATAACGTGGTCTCTTTTACCAATGAAATTATTTAGCAGTTCCTTTTTTGCGTGTATATGCACTACGTGCTTGAGTAAATTAAAATTAACGTCAAACTTCTGATATTTCTGTAAATAGCAAACATCCGCTTGCAAGGTGAGCGACTCGCAATAGTTAGACTTTCGACTCCCTGTTTATCATGGGAACTTAGAAACTGTTCGCTCTATTGCCGGATACTCTCTCAAGCATCCGGAAAGTCGGCGATGCACGGTACTTAGACTTTTTATTCCTTGCATAACCTGGACTTTCGACTCTCTTGGCTTGGAGATTTAAAAATTATTCGTTCCACTACCTGGCATGTATGCATGAACGTTTAATTTTTTTCCTTTGAATTAAACGTGCAAAGAAAATGAATTACTACGAACAAAGGTTTCCTACGATATTCCCGGAGAAAATAAAGATGCATACCGTTAAACCAAGATAATCTTTATCATGACATTAACAAATTGTCCCTGGCAAGGTTCGGATGAACATTGAATACCGTAAAATCTTGTTCATTTTGACAGAGACGTTTCTTCTTTTGAACGTAGTCCACGAAAGTGCGCCTTTTTACTCGATCTTATTTGCATTCACGAAGGCCCAATGCTCACGTCATTTCTCCAAGCATAATAAAGATGTCCGTTGGAGATGAATGCGGAGCTTTAATTAATATCGATGAAATGTAAAAAGAGGATGCACAAGTCGCAGGAACTGTGGCTGCCTCGGGCAATGATAATGAAGTCATTTCGTGTCAGGCTACACAATCGCGGTTCCGTGCTTTATAATCCTCCTTTCATCAGAGCTTGATCAACTTATTCGTATGCGAGCATGCTTCGTGCGCTCTCTTTTTACTAGATAGCTCGTTTTTCAACGCGTCGCTTTTCCCGTTTTACCTCGTTTCCTTGTCGAGATCTCCTGTTCTCACGTGAATTTGCGAATAAATCACGATCGAGCGATACGGTATCCAATAGGTTGCGCACAATTTACAACAGCATTATTAACGATACGGTGGTCATCGCTTTATGCGAATTTATAGATACGAAGTAATTTTCAATTTACTCGGAATATCTTGATCAACAAGTTCGCTACCACCGTCGAAGCATCGACAGCGCGATATGTTATTCCGTGTGATAGGGATCGTCGACGTGTCGACAGTCTGCCGATTGGTCGCTGTACCGCGTGTCAAAGGTTGCGGACATTTTTGTTCATCGACTAATCTGTCGTCGAATGCCAAAACTTCGCTCGTATCGACGAGTATAGACATTTTGCTATCCGTGAATGGTAAATTCGGTATATTCCACGCGTTAACATGTCCCTTCCTGTGTCGGTACGTCCCCCGCTTCGACACACTTTCCATGTCGGTACGTCCCTTACATCGGAACATTCTCCGTGTCGATACGTAACTCTTGGGCACATCCCCCACTTCGATACATCCTACATGTCGGCATGTTCCTTACATCGGCGTGTACTCCAGATTGACGCGTCCCTCATCTGGACGTACCGTTTACAACGGAACATTTCCTATGTCAGCACGTCCCTCGAGACAGCACGCGTAATTTTGTTAATAATGTCCTTCGTACCTTTGAAAGTATCAAAGGTATTTGTCATTCGGATACCTGTCGATCAACAGCCATTTGTCCGTTTACTTACCATCGTAATTCGAACACCTGTGTGTAAGTTCGACGTTATAGAACGAGGGTGGACGACCAAAACGTGAATCGACTGCGAAAGGTACTCTTGATCGCGAGAGCGGAGGTGACCAGGTTGTCAGGTAAATATTCATAGGTGATTTATAGCAGGTATGCAGCCACAAAGGGCGTGCATCGGTCGAGAGGCGCCGCTACCATGCCGCGATTCATTGTTTTCCCGGATGATGGATCGAAGTAGAACAGAAAGGTTATGCACGTTTTCGTATTAATCACGACCATTCGCTGACATCGTTCGATCCTGGAATGCCACGATGCCCCTTTCTTCGGGGATGTTGGACTGTTCGAAGGGTTTCGTGCGTCTACGCGGGACGACGATGAATCTTTTTGAAACGTGCGTGAAATCCAGATTTATATTGGGTTTCGACCGAGTATACGGTCACGCGCGTTCAATTCTTAATACGTTGTGTATCGTGGAATCATCGTTGACACGATTCTAAGCTGACATTAAAAATTTGAGGAAACTGTAAATTAATTTGAAGCGAAAACGAAATATTGTTCTGCTTCGTCAGTTCAAAACAATTTTTGCTTAGGTTCGAAGGTTCCTCGTGAAAGCTGGCCTGGTTTCTAAGTGCGTCCGAAATTTGCCGCGTTCCACAGTTCCATTAATTATCTGAAAAATCGTCGAAACCATCCGTACTCGAAGGAAAGTTCTGTAGATGCTTGCACGTTGCTCTCGTGCAGCTGGCTCGGAACGCGAAACGTTAGCAAGAAACTTTTCACGGAAGCTACCGTACTCCAATTAACGCGGAAGATTCGAGGTAAAACGCGTCCACGTCGCGTTCGCGTGAACGGCTCGTAAAGCGAAGAGAAGAGAACGAACACGTCGTCGGCTGTAATTTTCTCTCGCGATCGTTCTTCCGCGGTGGACGCTTCCTATTGCTCGTTAAAACGTCGACCGCGAAGATCATTGGGCGTGCATGTCGACGTCGTGTGTCATAGGTGATCTCCTCGAGCCAACTTTTCTCTATCGAGTGCAAAAAACTACTTCGGAAATTTTGTTACCGTTTTTCCGCTTCGCGAGAAACCTTCCGCGTTAATTGACTTGCAGCGTTTAAACGTTGTCTAGAACAGAGTGGAAAGAGTGCGCTAACAAATGTCTCTATCCTAACGAAACAAATGGTACCGCATAATCCAGGCATTAGCCTAATGACGCGAACGTCACTACTTAATTCGACTTCATCCCGGTGTTGTCGCATTACCTGACACAGGAAACTTCCGCTCCTGTGCGACAATCCAGACTCCGTTCTAATGCACTACCAAAATCATACTTTAGCCAGAAACAAAGTGGCATCGGTTAATACAGACACTATCCTAATTCGATAAACGGTACTACCTAATTCAAACTTTATTCGAGAGTTATTACAGTGTCAGAACGAAAAGGGAACCAACGTATTCCTTTCCCAATCCTAATACAGCAAAAGGTGACATTATCTAGCCGAGTTCCATAACAATGAAGCAATCGGTACTACGTAATCCAAGTTTCATGATAGTGAAAAAAATGCAGGTTATTAAGTATGCAGACAGTTGAGCTTTCAGTTTCATCTTTTAATTTGTTCGTGCACAACGAAGCAGAAAGACAAAGATTTTCTCAGAAGCGTGTTAGCAACCGTAATAAGGACTCTAACGACCGCGTCATAAGTGTATCGAGCATAAATTAACTCTGTGCACAAGCATTCTATTAACGATGTCTCAACCGAATCTCGAACGCCTGTTTATTTACGACACGTCCAACTTGAAATACTTGTTAGAAAGACACTTAAACCTTTGTTCGTAAACAACGATACAGTGATTTCGTGATTGCTCGTAAACTTATTCGACTATCGACACTGCATTACGCGCGGCTCCCTCGTCGTCGGTGAAAATTTATCAACGTGACTCGCGTCGCTCCCGGAATCGATAATGTAATCATAATCCTCCCGAGTTTAATTAAAATTCTTCGTAAAACGGCGACCCTTGATCTTCGATCGTCTACTAATTTATAAAAATGAAAAGTCTATAGGGCGTTTAAGAGAAAAGAGTACCATGTATTGAAAGCAAAAGAAAACGTCAATTTATGGGGGAAACGAACACTACCATCTGTTATAACTGTCGAGAGTTTCCCTGGAGAAAATGACAATGTATGGAACTTTAATGCTATAATACTGTCGAGTATAATAGTCGGTGGCAGGGTTTTATTCCATAGCAAAAACTAACGTGTTTCTCAGTGTATATATGCGGGTGCCATAAGTGTGAATTACACGTAATCAGAAATACCTATGGAATATCTCACGCGTTCCTCGGGAGTTGTATTTATTCAGAAACAACATATTGCAAGGTGAACAGTATAATATGGGATATTGCAGAATAAAGATATAATTACGGTATTATAGCAAGGTGTTAATTGCGTCGTCAAAATTGCAGTAGAAAGAATATAAGAATAGAACCGGTTAAATCATCGATGAAATTTGAAGGATATCCTTTGTAGAGATTCGGCCGCGTGGGCCACGGTTTAGCGTTTAATTTCATGGAAAGCAGTTGCCGTCGGGCGCTGTTTGTTCCTTATTTGTTCATTAAATAATTATTACCCAAAACTACCTCGTTAGTGGAAGATTATGCGGATCATGAAATAAATCCATCTGTAACTCGACGATCAACCATGAATAAACGTTGCAGTTATTACCTATTTACCTGCTACAAATTCAGCGCCGAACAGGGAATTTATAGTTTAGAAACGCGGATTACTATCGTTAACCGACGTTCGTTAAATATCATTTCATTTTATTTTCTATAAGTCTAATTTATTAAATTTATTTATGGATTTTATATTCAAATAACATCGATTACATTTTTCCCACAAAATCAGTGATAGATGTTATCCGATTACCATTCAAAGTGTTAACAGAAATTTCAATCATTTATCGAGGAAAACTTTTCAAAGTTAAGTCTTTTTCTTCTCGGTGCTTTACGTAACTAAGGTTCTTTGATAGGTAAAATCGGGATGCAAAATTGTAGGATTTCTTCGGGTAAAGTTTGCTCGAAAGTTAACTCGGAAGAGCAAGTTCCAGAAAATTGTAAACAACGGTTTTATCGGGCTATTCGGCTAGGAAAATGTTCGCGTTGCGAAGTTTGTAAAGGGACTTCCGGTTCGAATTGTTAGTAAAGTAGCGCCTCGGGAACTTTATTAAAGGAGAACAGTTTGCGATAATTCGATGCCGTTGTTTCCCGCGGCATGTACTTATTTGTACAACGAAATAACCGATTCCGCCGCTATGGTGGCTTATTCAATTATTTGTCGCGTAATCAAATAATATTTTTCTCGAAATTATACAAACAGAAATGGAAATTCTGTTTCACGCGATGGGGACAAAATTGTTGTCGAACGCTGTTGCAGCAATATTACTAAACGAAGGAACCTGATTCGTATTTCGACAAAATTAACGAATCGAGTCTTCATCGTGGACATTTTCAAAGCATCAAATATTCGGAATACTTGAAAACGTACGGGATAAAAAGGGCAAAGTATCGTCGGGATAATCGATTGGTTTCATTTTATCGAATCGAACATGGTACTCGAAGAGTTAATGCATGTTTTACACATTCTCGTGCGCGATAAACGCATAAACATCTGTGACGCACATTGGAATAAAAATTTCCTCGAATCCTCTTAGCACATAATTTTTTACTGTTTCTAGAACCCTTGAAAAACATGAAACCGGAACACCGCTTTAAAAAATTCGAGTTTTAAAAACATTCAGTTAGAATACATTGTTCCCGCCCACTCAAAGGCAACATATGTTGTTATAAAAATTAAAATACAATACGGTATCATAAACGGAATATATTTTTATAGCTTCGAATGCATTTTTTACTTCAAAGTAGGATTATTCGGTTATGAAAAATGGTATAAAAATTGCAAATGATATTGTGAAATGTATAAAATTATACTTTTGAAGATAAATTTCTAACTTAGAATATCTACAAAAGCACGATAAGCGGGTGAAAATTAGAAAGCGTGTATTCTGGTGTACATACAATTTGTTATATTAAAAAGTTGTCTATGATATTTTGTTGCAAAGTTACACGGTATTTAATTAAGATAAATACTTGGAAAGATAAAAGTAGTTTGAATAAACTGGTTAAACTGCATAGATAAAAAACAGGATACGATTCCAAAGAAAATATGAATTTCGGTAAAAGACTACGTGTTCATTTTACGATTTCCTCGATAAATCTTGATCGTTAGCCAACAGTTAGGAAAGAAAAACGATTATGCAGACATATTGTTCGGTTTTAATCGTATCGATGAGACATTGCGAGTACGTACCGCGAGCCGTCGCTTCCGTCGCCAAAGACACGTGGTTGCCGCCGTCGTGCCGCACTATTCCGAAACACCTGCGCGCACCTTCTCCGCACAAACGATCTCGCGGATGCGTCACACAATCCAGAAACACCTCCTCTTGCTTCCTCTTTTCCGGTGTTCTCCAGAGTCTGTTATTCATCGAGTACTCCGGTGGATTCGGTTAACGGCTCACTTTTCGCCGGAAGTGTCGGGCGCGGATCACGAAAACGCGCGAGCGACTCGGCGAGGGAGGGTCCCGATACGCTCGGGTATGGAGAGGGCGAGTCAACGGACGAAGAGGGGAGGGACAGAAGAATCGAAGCAGAGAAATAAAAGTAAAAGGGTGAAGGAAAATGAATCGAAAGGTAAGAACATGGAAGAGATCGAGAGTGTGAAAAGGGGTGAGAAAGAATGGATCGAAGGAAAAAGAGACAGATAGACAGAAAGAAGGGGAAACAGAAATGACGGAACACAGTCCGGCAGAGAAGTCGTGGGCACGATCGCCGTCACAACACTAGCGGTCCGGTACACTCTTCCGACGCTACGTACACACGATCCTCCTCTCCTTGTCCCTGCACGATTCTCCGTCCCGTTCCCTCTCGATCAGCTGCCCCTGCACCCGTCTACTGTACCTGCCAATACCACTATCTACACTACACATGTACCTGCAAGTTACACTAATTAACTTTACCAATAGCTTCGACGCCTGTTCGAAACTCTTTCTTTCCATCGTGCTCTGTTCGACGGAAATCTACGATCTCGATGCTTCTTCCTGCCTAATCCGATAAATATATCTTAAAAATACTTCGATCTACACGTAGTAGAGTATAAAACCGTTCTATCTATCAAATATGGGAAACAAAATAATGCGAATAGAAACGAGACGCGAGCGGTGGTACTCATTGATAGGTTAAGGTATGGTATTACGCGACATTAATCCTCGTGTAGGTAAGCAAGCATTTCAAACGAAGATTTGATGCCGCTACATCGAAGTCACGAAACGAAACTTAATGTCATGACAACGCAACTTCTGTGAGTATAACAAAAGGCACGACATTTCGTGAGATTACATTAAAAATCTCGATTTACTGGCATGTAAAAACGTACCCTTAATGTCACGCGAAAACGGCATGACATTTCGTGCTATGGCAATAAGAATCGCGATTTATCGTCACGTGGGAACGTACCTTTACTTTGACCCACTGGTATTGAGCACCACTGATGGCAGCACACCTCTCGCGGCACTATTTGTTTCCTAGATCGAAAACAAAATTTGCTATGCAGTTACCCGTGATTATAATGTATGCTGGCTCTGTCACGCGATACGATCAGATTTCGACGGGTCGAACCTTTACCTTTTACCATAAATTGATCGGTATCTCGCAAAATAGATAGAAAGTTCGACTTTAAAAAATATTATAAGCGCATATAAATGTTCGTGATATAATAAAAATTGGCGTCACGATAAAATCGCATGAAATCCTCCGTAGTAAACGATCGCACATTGTCAGCGAGGCGATGAAATTCCTGTTCGGGTGCGAAAAATATTTGTTAAGAATCGAGAGTAACGTGGAGAAACGTGGTTTTTGGATCCCCATTCAGAGCACAGAACACTTAAAAGCGAACATTTGTTGCGCGCGTGTGCGATGGTGCTCGTGTATGTTTGGTACGCGCTCGATCTCGCCTCTCTTTTCCGCCTCCTCCGGCTCGATTACGCTCCGAGGAGAACTCGGAGGTTCCCTCCTACCTTGACGGCCGCAAAAGCACGGACCTCCTCTCCTTGTCCCTGCACGATTCTCCGTCCCGTTCCCTCTCGATCAGCTGCCCCTGCACCCGTCTACTGTACCTGCCAATACCACTATCTACACTACACATGTACCTGCAAGTTACACTAATTAACTTTACCAATAGCTTCGACGCCTGTTCGAAACTCTTTCTTTCCATCGTGCTCTGTTCGACGGAAATCTACGATCTCGATGCTTCTTCCTGCCTAATCCGATAAATATATCTTAAAAATACTTCGATCTACACGTAGTAGAGTATAAAACCGTTCTATCTATCAAATATGGGAAACAAAATAATGCGAATAGAAACGAGACGCGAGCGGTGGTACTCATTGATAGGTTAAGGTATGGTATTACGCGACATTAATCCTCGTGTAGGTAAGCAAGCATTTCAAACGAAGATTTGATGCCGCTACATCGAAGTCACGAAACGAAACTTAATGTCATGACAACGCAACTTCTGTGAGTATAACAAAAGGCACGACATTTCGTGAGATTACATTAAAAATCTCGATTTACTGGCATGTAAAAACGTACCCTTAATGTCACGCGAAAACGGCATGACATTTCGTGCTATGGCAATAAGAATCGCGATTTATCGTCACGTGGGAACGTACCTTTACTTTGACCCACTGGTATTGAGCACCACTGATGGCAGCACACCTCTCGCGGCACTATTTGTTTCCTAGATCGAAAACAAAATTTGCTATGCAGTTACCCGTGATTATAATGTATGCTGGCTCTGTCACGCGATACGATCAGATTTCGACGGGTCGAACCTTTACCTTTTACCATAAATTGATCGGTATCTCGCAAAATAGATAGAAAGTTCGACTTTAAAAAATATTATAAGCGCATATAAATGTTCGTGATATAATAAAAATTGGCGTCACGATAAAATCGCATGAAATCCTCCGTAGTAAACGATCGCACATTGTCAGCGAGGCGATGAAATTCCTGTTCGGGTGCGAAAAATATTTGTTAAGAATCGAGAGTAACGTGGAGAAACGTGGTTTTTGGATCCCCATTCAGAGCACAGAACACTTAAAAGCGAACATTTGTTGCGCGCGTGTGCGATGGTGCTCGTGTATGTTTGGTACGCGCTCGATCTCGCCTCTCTTTTCCGCCTCCTCCGGCTCGATTACGCTCCGAGGAGAACTCGGAGGTTCCCTCCTACCTTGACGGCCGCAAAAGCACGGACCGAGACAGGGCAATCTACTAGGTAAGACTAGTTCCTCCACCCAGTCGTGGACCCGTTTTCTGTCCGCCACTCTCTCCCTCCAGTTTTATCTGCTTCTCCTTCTTCCTCGTCACGATTTTCCTCTTCCTCTCCCGTGATTCTTGATCTCGCCTCCTCTTTCTTATACGCGGTTGCTCTTTTTATCGTCTCTCGAGCTGTGTCTTTCTCCTCTTCTACCTCTTTGCCCTCTCCTGGAGTAGCGTCGCGTAGCGTCGCGTCGCGTTGGTTCGCCACAACCGTCACCGCTCTTTCGTCTTTGGTCCTCGTGCAACGCATGGAATTCTGTCTCCCTTTACTTCTTGCCGCTCCTTCTTTCACCCAGCTCCTTTCTTTCCGTCTTGCTCTTCGTAGTTGCTTCTCCTTTCCTCAAGCTTTCGCCCTTTCCCTTCCGCGAGATAACATCGCCGGTTTCGTTCTTGCTTCGACGCCTGTCGTCCTTGTTATTCCGTCGCTGAAACTTTCTTCACCAATATATTTATTATACGTTTGATACGTATTGCGAAATTCTTTTTACCTTCTATCGCCGTCTTCGTGTTACACCGTCGATTTTCTTTTGTTCCCCTGTCGGACCTGCCTCGATCCTCGTGCATCGGTTAAGGTTTATTTGCACGCGGCCTATACGTACGCGCTCTCTTTGCTTTGAAATTTTCTTCTCCTTTCTTTTTATACTTATAATTCGTTTTGCTTGTTACACGCGTTGCGTGTTCATAAATCTACCGCGTGTCGAGGATTTCCTCTCTTTTTCGTCCGGCCCTATCTTTATCCGTGCTCCTACTTCATCGGTCATGCGCTTCATCGATTCGCCGAATAAATTTCAAATCGGCACGATTCACGCGTTTCGATAAATATTCCTAAAAATAGGCGATACGCGCGATGCGTCGAGTGTTGAGGCTTTTATGGCATAAATTGTCACCAATTCGATACATCGCGTAGGGATAGTATGTCGTTATGCAACGCATGCCCATACACCGTGCTACGATAAAACGCGTGGCGTTATAAAGTACGACGATCTACCTCGAGAATGTCTAGCACGCAGCGAACTAATGCGTGGCGATAAATCGTGTACCGATTCAACGCGTGGATACTTCATACGCTTGGGTACTTCATTCGAAACACGGGAGACGTGTGAGGTTCTAACGTTACGTGGGTCTTCTGGCACATTTGGACGATTACTTGGATGAGCATTCGCGAGAAAATTGAGACGGATGACCCGCTTGATGGCGAATGTCAAAAGTATCGTTACGTTCTAGCGTGACAAACGAAATCGATGCTTTTTGATACGCGATGCCGTTATATCGCGAAGTTTTGAACCAATATAGAAAATGTTATTCGATAAAGATATGTGCAGTGCAATTTCCTTTGCAACAGACTCGACTCAGCTAAATACCTGTTTCAACAGAATTAATTGTAGCTATGTGATTATGAAAAACGAAACTGAGCGTTTTTAGAATGAATATTACTTGCAAATAAACGTTGCTTTCGCAGGAAACTGTTTTTGTAAGTTGTCGTAAAATTGCACGAACGACGAGTGCAACGCGTGTATTAGAATCATATTATACAGCGTTATTTTTCAAACATCGGCTTATGATTTCGGTTGAAATTCAAACTATAAAGTGCAGTAGTCATTTACATAAAATAGAGTGTCTATTTTATCGGGGATCAAAATATTCGTGCATTGATATTAAATTATTGAACAGACTCGCCGCAACCACAATTTTGGCTCAACGTGATATTTCATGAAATGCATAAATTTTGCCGCGATGTTAATCCTAAAATATTACCTAATAATATTATCGTACATCATTCATTTGTTATTCCACGAAGCACGCGAAACGACGTTCGTGTAATAAACCGCAAAAATGTAATCGACCGCAAATCATAATTAATAGTCTATGACAAGAAATTCTAAATTCAGTTTCCGCGAATGAAGATGGTAGATTGAAATAAATTAACGTCTTCTTATTTCATCCTTTATTCTCGACGATTTGAGGTCCCTTCCAGATAATGACCTATCTTGTCTCCCTAGAAAGTTACTTCTTCCACGAGTTCTCGCCTTTTTTGCTTTCCCAGTTCGCAGAGATTTATCTCCATTGTATTTCAGATCATCTTTTACTTCTTAGAGCTTCCTCTCGCGTTTTTGCCTCTCCTCCATTCATTTATCATCAAATATAGTTCTGGATGCGTGCGAATATCTCGAAGACTAATGGTATACTGTATTCGAATGCGATAGAAAAGAAAATATCATTTAAATAAACTCATCAACTCGAGATCGAATTCGGCAAAGATTCCGAATCGGAACAAAACCTTGAATACTTTAACGCAAAAAAGGATGATTTATCAGCCGTGGAAGACATCTATAGAATATTTAAATTTTCTTAGAAAAAGCAAATGAGATTTTTATGAGAATATTAGGTAGCATAGATCGCGTTACCAGGGGATTTGCGTTATGGGGTTGATAAAAGAGGGCGCGAAAGCGGATCTAAAAGCGAGTAAGCGATAGTAAACGCGACGCGAGGGGTTCAAGCAGCGTCACAATGAAATTGAAAGGTATTCGTTTCAAAGCGCATCGTGGCGTTGCGATAGCGTGCGCAATGATTGCGTGGAATACAATAGTCGATATACAAGGATCAGCCGTATATTGTTACGATCCGTTGAAATGGCTGCGCTATTTGTATCCTTTGGTAGAGAAAGCTCTTTGTTACAAATCTCGCAAGTATACAAATGCTTAAAAGACATAAGTGAAACGATACGGTTGCGATTGCGTGGATTTCCTTCCTATCGTGTTTTAGAAAATAAAGAATACGATTCTCTTGACACTTTCACTGTTATGGGGTTTTCAGTTTATCGCCACATTAAGTGCAACGTAATTCTTGATGGCGTTTTATTTGTAGGACTTATTGTATAGTAAGCGTAAAAGAAAAAAGTAAAAAATTTGGGGTACATTTAGGTCTAAATGCAATCAATTATTCGAAGGATCTCCGAAGGACGAGCAATTTTCGAGATACGAAACTTTTCTTCTGGCATCACGGTAACAAAAGTAGCCTAATGCTATTTACTTATCGAAACCCCAACACTGAAATGGGAATAGGGTACCTTTTCTTCTTACGTTACCATTATCGAAAGTTCAGCACGAGATCGAATTTCTTCTCCTTTGAAAAGAAAAGTAAAGGGTCAACGAAGTGTACATACATCAGTTCCACCAGAATTGATCGACAATAAAAGAGGCCGTAAAACGAGATAAGTATTGCTTGTGAAACCTTGTAACACGACTATCGACGTCAAGTGTAAAATATGAATGGCGAGGAAGATAAAACATCGCTTACAACTTAGAATAAATCGGAAACGCTAAAGAAAGAAACGAATTGAATAGCAGTATTGATATACAAATAATATTATATCGATAGTACATAACAATCGCTATAATAATAACTCGATGGCTGAGATGTATATGCTTCTTCGATTAATAACTCGCTACGAATAAATTTCTTATTCTCTGACGTAGGAACGAAAGCTTTCGTTAAGAATCAAGGTGGTGGGCTTCAAATTTCGAGCACCGGAGGTATTCGAGGCGACAAATGGCGTGAATTCGTTTGCGAATCGAACCGTAGATAAATAAAATGGCGTTCACCGAACGGGACCACCCACTCGATGTTCTCGATCGACTTGATGGTTTCTGTTCGAGTCGAGAGAACGCCACAAACTCCGACTAACATTGTAAGATTCGTTCGATCGCGTATGACAAACGGTCAGCCATAACGTTGAATTAACTTCCAACCGGTCGGTGTACGGTTTGATTGAGTCTACCGAACCGTGTCAGCCAGGATGCATTGAATCCTACCTTCCTTATACCCTGTAATAGCCGATCGACTGTAAAATACTTGTAAGTAGGGTAACGCGATTCAGTCGGTTGTCGAAACTTTTTTTCGCGCGACGCCATGTGTCAAGACCATTTGCACTGGTCGTCGGAGACACTCGATTTTTTGTTCATTCGAAGGGTATCGGAGAAGCAGGGAGCCAAGAAGCTCTCCCTAGCTTTTTAGAAGATTGTGCTACTTTACTTTCGGATATATTGAATTTTAGTCGATGCTTTGCGAAACTTGTCGACGATGAATCTTCTCGTGTCGTTAATACGAGGTTTTGGATACGAGTAATGTCAAAAGAGGATCGTTACTGTACTTTTTAAACGACTACCTGCCTAATTTTTCAACAATTTCTGCAATAGTAATCTTGACGGTATCGCGATACGAAAGATTCTTATAAGATTAATAATACTGTAGGGAGAAAAAGTATTCGGTCAATCGGATTGCTAGATGGATCAGGATTCGAATCCGGATTTTCCGCTTACCGATATTCATAACTCCTTTATATTGAGCTATCTGGACCGTCCACGAATATTCTCACCCTACTTCTTAAGGTTTAAATATGGCTGCTGCGCATATTAGAATCGATAACTACTAAATACACCTTGTACATAATTCAAAAAGGAAAATTTAAGAAATTTCTTTGCAAGTGTGGTGAACCTAACGGATGGTCAGGATTCCGCATTGAAGGATTTTATCGAGAAACGTTATCTTCCAGGTCCTTAAAACGCTTCATTAAGCAGCGATAATGGCACGAGCTTCTTTAAATTCTTCGAGTTGTGCGTAGCTAACGAGTCCTCGTTGTCATCCATTGAAAGGCAAGGTGAATTATTGGGAATGCAACATAAATGCCAAGGAAGGACGGGTCGTTAAACCAGCAAGTTTGTTACTCGCTCTGCATTAGAAGAAGGTAAACAGACGCAGCAATTGAATGGAAGCATACGGCACGCGCAACCAATTAAATTCCAACGCAATTTATCCTTGCCAGTCCTGCCAACATTCCGTATTATTCTTGGCTGCTTTTCGATACGAGACACTTTTGTGTTTTCTATCGCTTCGCTTTTATTCCTCTACCTTCGCCAGAATAATATCGACTGACCGAGTCTGGCAAAAACTGTTCAGCGCTATTTTTTCCTACATCCACCGGTTCTAGTAGATAAATAGAATTAATTCTAAATCCTATAATCCTGCGAATTCGTTTAAATGAAATTTGAATTCTGCATTCGATAACATTACTATGGAAATTCGAGCCACGGCGAAACAGTGTCAACGCGATCCATGAAATCTGTACTATAAAAGCAGAACATGCGTATGTTATATCAAGACGTATATTCGTTCGTGGATTTCACGGTATTTTACAGTCGCGGAGGTATAACACGGAGCCGAGAACGGCGCTTCCGCCGATCCCTGCAATTTCAATACCTTTTTCCTACCATACTTCAACTTACAACCTTAATTATTCTTCGACCAATGACCGGTTGTCATCGACAGCCGCGATGACCAGCACAAACGGACCACCCTTGAGTGTTCGCCATCTACCACGGCGTATCGTTTTTCTCTGTCCATAGGTTTAAGAGGATCGGCCCGTTGAACAGAGAGGAACAAGTAAAACTGGAGCGGGTTTTACGCTTCTCCGTTACCGGATTACGTAAACTGGATGCACGAAGCGGATAGTCTTCTTGTTTGCGATAAATCAACGCGACCACCCTGCGCTTCGAGTGACGAAGAAACGAAACCGGGGATGTAATTTGATGTACCGATGACATTTTTGCTTGTCAACGGTAATGTTGGTGTTTTCGTGTTGGAAGACAGACCGTGGAGTGATAAACGGGGACGCGGCGATTTATTTCTCGGACGTTTGTTCTATGATAGAGGAGGAGAACAAGAGGGCAATTCTTTAGACTCAATTTCTTCGAGAAGGAAAATCGGATTCGGTCGTTCGATCGATACGAACTTGGGATTGAAAAGCGAAGAATGCGAGACGGTAACGAAAATTCGATGAAATTGCTACATTATGTAGCGATTCTTTTTAAACGAGTTCCACGTACCGGGTTTTTATTCCCTTTAAATTTTACCCTTATTCTTAATAACTGCTATCATTAAATTTACGATACCTCCTAATGTATTTTTAATCAAAATGTGAGTCCTAACTACTCGTTTATTTCTGCCAATTTCCTTAATTCTTATATCTCACAGTCGTATAATACGTCGCTGACAGTGATACATGCAATTATGAATACACACATGGTTGTAATAACGTGTATCCTAACATCGAGATCGAAAGGCAATACATGATAATTATCTTTATACGAACTGCAATACCAAACACGGATAAAAGAAAAAGCAGCTCGTTTCAATTGGGTGAACCTGGCCAAAAAGTCGACTAAAATTGTCCTATCGGGCTCGATCCGGAGCCTGATTGAATCCGTATTTGGATCGTTTCGAGTGTAACCATAGGAGGAACTGCACACGCAATCGATATACCGGGTGTTCCATGCGTAATTTGAATTTCTTTTTAAACGATTACTTTCGTTTTCAAAGCGATGAAACGTCATTGTTTGTTCGAAACATATTTGCGAAGCTTTTTCCTCGAATACAGGAAAAAATATAGAGATGTAAATTATATAGGTGATATGTGGAACAAGTTATTTTGAATTGCTTGAGACGTCCTATATTTGTCCGGGTCGTTCGTCATTCCGAATTTACTTACCATTTTAAGATCCCATCTCCTTAAAAGGATCAAGGATTGCTTTGTAATGCCGACGTCAATGTTCCTTGAGCGGCAACGGGACTATCTTGGTTTGCCACAATTAATGATTCAACGAATACGATCGATCACTCGTTCCAATTAAAATCGTACCAAGGAAGCGAAATCTTGTCCAGAGAATTAGTCCAGCGCAACAGTATACGCTACTTTATCCTTGTTTTGTATCTCGTGATATTTGCATGGCAAACTTAAAAAGAAGATGTTAATTGTTTGAAAGATTGATTTACATTATGTTCTTAATTAACTCTTAAAAATGGAAAGACATAATAAGGCAAAATTATAAGAAATCACGCGCATGAAAATTTAAGATTCGAGTTTACCGTAATGTCGATCGCGAAACAATTGCGAGAGAATATTGTTGTTCAGCCGACTTCAGGGGACGGTTTCGAAAAATAGTCTGTCATGAACGAATTCCAAACGCTTCTGACGTTCCTCGGCATCCTCGTGACTGCAGACGGCAATGTACTGGACAAGTACACCCGCGCACCCGGAAATGTATATCATGGTAGGTAAGTGCATTTATAACTGTATTGATTAAATTTACATTTACCGTTTGCTATGAAATTTTTAGTTCACTCTCCGTAAATAGGTGAACATTAACCGGATCTTGTTTTCTGTAGGTATACGAGAGATATCCACGAACCGGAGCTCCTCGTACCAAGAAAAGTGTTCGAAGATGGCAGTTTCAACACGTACTCGTTGCCAAATTTTTACGATCGTCAGGAGGTTAGCGAGCGCAGGAAGAGGTCGACCAACGAAGAAGATCAATCGGAGATAGACAAATTACACCTGATACTACCCATTAATGGGATCGAACACCATGTAGAACTTAGCCCATACCATGAATTTATCTCGCCAGACATGGTGATAGAAACACGAGGTTCAGGTATAAGTACTAATTTGAACGACGCTGTGAGATTCAAACGGGCCCCGGATCGCCAGTGTCATTACAGAGGCGTCATTAGAGGCCATCATGGGTCCAGAGCTGCACTGTCCTTGTGCGATGGCGTGGTTCGTATGTCTTCGATTTTTTAACGCGTCGTTTGATCGACAAAATAGTGACAGATGTACATGGAATACCATGCATTGTTTCGCCGACTTTGTTCATCGAGATCACGACACGAAAGATCAATGACGAACGGGCAAATAATACAAAGAAGCAAGATTAAATTTAGCCGATGATCCACCGACTGAACAATTGAACTAGCCACATCGTGTAGATGACCAACACGATCAACGTGGTCAACAACGAGGCCGTAGCGAGCACGGGAGAGCTTGTCTTCGACTCTAATCAAGCCTCTTATTACGCACTTAGTCGCATGCAAATTAATATAAAAGATTTGCATACAAATGGACTCGTAGCTCGTTGACGCGATCGATTCCACTCGGTTATTGGTCGTAAATATCGGTTTGAAAACTATCCCACGCGAACGTTTTGCACTCGAGATTCAACGTGACCGAGGAATCTTGGTTAATTCTATCCCGCCGTTTCGAGAATTCGACTGAAACGGATCCGCTTTCAGCTTGACGCAATTCCTGCCACGAGTTGCGAGACGAGATCTGCATAATCTGTTCCTCGCGTTGGCGACGCTGCTTCTGGTCACCGGAAGTGCTCGCCGAGTCTAACGGGAAAGGGAAAATAGCGAACAAACCCGAATTCTCGAATAATTATACGACAATGTTTCTTCTTGGTAGTTAGTGCTGTTCAATGAAAATTGAAGGTCACCAGAGTCTTTCCTCTTAGATTTCGAAGGACTAACATTTTATACGTCAAAACTACGGTTCCATCTATAGAATCTTCTAATCGATAATTGAAAAATAATGGCAGAGCGAAGTGGAAACTTTCGTAACGAAGGATAGGAACATTTTGACTAGTAGTCGTAATTTAAGACCCCATAGGTCAGTGTTCCCAAGAGTATCGTTACTCCTTCGAGCATAGCCGAAGTTGTTCGGGCCAAGCTAACTGCCTCTGGATCGGATAGCCGCGCGGCACGTTATTGAATCGATCAATTTTGCCGAATATCAACGTATCCAGGCCTCTGTGCCTAGCTAAACCACAATTTGCCACGAATTACCAAGCTTTGGCTTGTTTGCACCCGACTGAAGTGCAAGCACAGAGAGCATTTTGTACTACGCCGTTAGTTTCAGCTACGATAAATGTTGCACGCGCAACCGATACCCGTAATTGGGATCGTTGAACTGTAATTTTCGAGGTGTGCACGTAATTCCGTGATTCGACGTGAATTTCGCATAGAATTCAACCTTTTAACGAGTTAGAGGCGTGATCTAACGCGATACCCTGTGAAAATTAACGCTCGCGAAAGCGAAACTCTAATTCTAGTACATCAAATCGAATTTTATGGTTAACCGTCGATTTATCGACACCTCTGTTTCGGCGATTCGTTTCGTTTACGATATCATGTATACAGGCTGGCTACGTGCAAACCGATCATGGTCGGTACTTCATCGAGCCACTGCACGAAGTGATACCGGAAGTGGATGGTCAGCATGTTCACGTCGCTTACAAACGCGACGCTCCGCACGAGAAGAAGGGGAGTCAAGATGGCGCTCCGAAAAGACATTGTACAACCGGCGGTTTGTACAATTTTTTGCATCAAGTACATTAAGAAAAGTTGCTCTACTACTTCTATTATCGAAATGGTTCTTCTATCGAAGAAGTTTCGATGAAAGATTTAGTTTTTCGAAAGTAATTATGGTACTCGAAAAGAGAGGAAAGAATCTCGTAAGCGAAACTTTTGTTTTTCGTCGAAACAGACGATTGGGAGGCGGCGTGGGCCGAACAGTTGGCTGAACGACAGAAACGACTATTGGAAGATAATTCGATCGGGACGAAACGGGACAGTCCAGCCAGTTTCGCTACCCACAGTATACATCGTTACATAGAAATTGGATTAGTCGCGGATAGAAGGTTCCTCGACTATTACAACAACACGGATTACGAGCAGTATCTATTGACGGTTATGAACATGGTGTCGGATTTTTATCACGACAAGTCCGTCGGCAATCAGATCGATGTTGTCGTCGTTCGTATGATATATTTGGAAAAAGAGAAGGAAGAGGTAATGCAAGTTAGCCGGAGAAACATAGCGTTATTAATAATCCTATTAACTTTGCGTGATTTTTCGTTCACGCGATTACGAGATAAGCCTTATTTTTACTTTAAAAATTTTTCAATATTTCTGTAAAAATTATTTTTCGATATACAAAAATCCCTGGCTTGAAAATTTGTGCGCTTAACCACAGTCAAAATGCCATTGTGTACGTCATAGGTTTGGGTTACGATTAACCCAGTTCCGATCAATAACCCACGCAGCACTCAACGCGTTAATCGCTTGCTTTACAACTCTTTTATGACGTAATCAACACACTCTTATTGTCAAATCGAAAACAAATTCTGTTTCCAATTCGATCGATCGTTAAGGCGCGTTATCAAGAATATGATAGTTTTCAGAAAACGGTTCATTCGCCAAAAGTGTTCATCCCCGAAAACGATAACCGAAAGATATTTTATCGAAGATCTTTCTCCGTAGATAGATTTGCTCATCAGTCCCGCAGCCGAGGAAACGTTGGCGAGTTTCGCCAAATGGGCGGAGAAGATGAATCCGCCGGACTCGACCCACCCCAATCATCACGACATTGGAGTTCTCGTAACCAGGTGAAGCTTCAATCTATTAAACGTAAATAAAACGAACATACACGTGAAACGTTGAATCCGAGGAACGAAGATTAATCCGTGTTTAACGGAGTCCGTGTTCTAGATACGACATCTGTTCAGAAGGAACGAATTGCGATCTGATGGGCTTAGCCTATGTCGGAGTCGCCTGCAATCCTGCCAAAGCAGCCTGCATCAACGAAGACAGTGGTCTTTTGCTTGGAATCGTAGTTGCCCATGAAGTTGGTCACGTGTACTGTCCATGCACGTTCCTTCGCAAAACTTAATCCTTTCGCTGTTATCAACGGCCAATTAATTCTCTTTTGATTGCCACCGCTGATAGTAATCGAATCAGTCATTCACAATCCTACGGCTAACTTTCTAGCAGTGAAGGGATTAAGAAAGACAAATATCGAGACGATCGAAAGGTTTTTTTTTCACAAAAGTCCCGTCTAGCGGTGGAAGTAATTTAGCAAGATATACGTTTTCAGAATGGGCTGTGCGCACGATGAGCCAGATGTCAGCGGATGTCCATCTAAAGATTCTACGGATGATAGTTTCTTTCTCATGTCGCCTATCGTATTCCTCTTTACGATTAGGTGGTCCTCCTGTAGCAGGAAATTTATCACCACTTTTCTCGAGTAAATCCTTCGTAATGTTACTCGGTTCAAAGTTCATTTATGTTATTCAATAAGGTAGAGACGATGCCGAAATGTCACGTAAATTTATTTAATTTTGATGTCGACTTAAAACGCTGCATGTCTCAATCGATAACATAAATCTGCCTTTGTCCGTTCTTTCTTTCGTCAGCAGTATTCCGAAAGTTCTATATCGGTTAATTAGGAGCGGCTTGGGCGAGTGTCTAAACGATGACCCGAAAAATCCTTCGGATAAATTCAAGTACCCGAACATGTTGCCCGGCGCGATGTACAATCCAGACGCTCAATGTAGCATGATGTTCCCTGAAGGAATATGGTGTAAAAATCCTGAGGTGTGTTCACTTTTAACGATACTTCGAAATCGCTACACACGTTATTTGAATTTCGAAAGGAATATCACAGCATCGACGCAACGAAAATTCAGAGAATATACGTATAAATTTTCATATCCATTCATTGTCCACGGGGGGTAAAGGCTGAAACGAGGCGAATTTTAACTAAAATTCCACAAATATCAGTTTAAATCATATTAGTACTTCGCGATTGACTTTTATTTTCTTGTGACGAAATTTCAATCGATATTTCAGAGCACTCCAATTATTCCTCCATGTAATATACGAATTTACTTGTTACTTTTATGCAATTTGTACGTTTTAGCATAGAACTTGCGAGTATCTTTGGTGCAAGGTCAATGAAACAGGCTGTTTGTCTCATGGGTATCCTATGGCCGATGGAACGAAATGCGGCGAGAATAAGGTTCGTTGAATGAATTCTTTGGAAATAAAATATTACCTGACTATGTTGTATACCCGCGTTTCCAGATTACTGTTTCATTCGTTTCTTTCCTTACAAAAGTTAAATTTTTTCATTTATATCTCTTCGCTTCATGCAATTGCTTTGTAATAGCTACGTTCATTCGCGTGACAAGAAATTATGACACAATAAAATCAGAAAGAAAAGAGAGTCGGTGAAATGAAATAATTTCAATTTTCCGTGGCATATAGCGACTCGTGCGAAACATGTATAAAATATGGCATAACGATACAACGAGAAAAAAGGTTTGTTTCTACAGTGACTGGTATATAAAATCTCAATTTCCTGTGAAAATTGCATTGTAGTTGCATGTAGCGATACATGCTACATTGTTATTACGAAAAATTAATACACCAAGGTAAACTGGTGAAAAGTTAATACGATTTAATATTCCTGTCGGTGATTTACAAAAAAAAAATATTCATCATTTGTACTTGCAACGAAACGACCTTTTGTTGCGGACAATGCAGAGAAGGGCTTATCTCGAATTTAAATCGTGTTACTGGAAACGAGTGCGCTCTCAGAAACGCGTTAATCCGCTTAAAATTTCAGTCTCTAGCAAGTTCACTTCGTCAAGTGTCGTTGCGCTTTCATACAATGTTACACGGGCTTTCCGTACTTTAACATTTTAGTTGAGAAATATCATGGTATACACGCTAACCTTGAAAGGTTGTTGTTTATAAGAAAATCCAAAAAATCTCGCGCTTTTATTCCACTAAGTAAAATAAGTCGTAAACGGGGTATGCGTGCATTCAGTGGTGCATGCGAAAGCAGTGCGTGGACATAGGCACACGACCTACAGCGGTGCACGGTGGTTGGGGCAAATGGGGCCCAGCGGGCAGTTGCAGTAGAACTTGCGGCGGTGGCATCAAAGTCGCTGAAAGAGAATGCGACAATCCACCACCGGCGAATGGAGGTAGATATTGTATGGGCGAAAGAAAGAGGCTGACCGCGTGCAACACTACGGTAAATCGTGCATCTTCTCCTTACGGTGATACCCTACTGACAATTCGATTAACGACGGTTCTCTATCCTGCAGCCCTGTGATCCCACCAAGCCGTCGTTCTACGCGTACCAATGCTCGTTGTTCAACAACGTAAAGGTCTTAACTGACGGCCTCCATACATGGTCACCGTACTACGCTCCTAACAATGATCGCTGCGCTTTGTTTTGCATTAACGAAAAACGCAGTTTCGCCAAAGTCGCGGCATCGGTGAACGATTCGACACCGTGCAAACCTGGAACCAACAATATGTGTGTCGGTGGTGTATGCAGGGTAAACTTGCCACCATTCATAACTATTTCTAATTCTAAAGTTATTTCATAGCTGATTTCGATTATGAACGACACAAATCTTTCTTTTTTTTACGAGGAGAGATAAGGTAATTAGCTAGGAACATAGAAAACACTTTTATGATTATGAATATTTTATGAAGCAAAACAGAAACGGCAGATGCTCGTTCCTCCATTTTGTTCTTGATATTATATTTTACGAGGTTGAAAGTGCCCTGTTATTAACGTAGGAGAAACTGAAGATTGCGACGATAAGAAAGATGTTTATTAAGTTATTACTTTGCTATCGTACGTAATTACTTGGTTCGAAGTTAACCTACCTGTTCGAGTTTTTCGTTTTTTCGGCTGCAAGTGATATTAAGTGTAATATTGCTGCTTCTTAAATTGAATTGCCGGCAATTACACGTTTCAGTGTATTACTTACACGCGAGCGATATCGCTTGCCATCGGTAGTACGAGTAATCGGATATTAATTAAACCGACTACGCCTCTATATTGATTTTATTATAAATTGAAATCTCCTTTGCCACTCCTCTTAACTTTATTATACACGTAGCATTAATAAAACATTGAATACAAAAAACGTGAAATCGTAGAAAGTCGGTTGCGATTGGATATTTGGTTCGGACGCTGTCGAGGACAAGTGTGGAATTTGCAAGGGTGATGGTACTAAGTGCAAAGCGGTAGAAGGATTCTACAATACGACCCTCGTAACGAGTCGTGAGTTATTGGTTGTTTACTGTCAGAATTTTTTTATCGAATTAGACGATAATTCAATAATTGACGACTTAGGTTACATGAAGATAGTGACGATACCCAAAGGTGCCCGAAGCATAACCGCCGAGGAAGTGGCACCGTACAGAAACTCACTGGCAATAAGATACGAGAAGAACGACGTTTATTGCTTGAATGGAAATATGTAATTGCTTCTTCTCGCGTTACGTCTAAGAATCCTATTAACAAGAGTAAACGTGATTTTAGGACCGAGCAAAGAAACGGTGACTACCCATGCGCGAACGCGATAATTATTTACCAGCATCCTGAACCAAAAAGAGAGGAAATTTATATAAAGGGCCCCATTGCGGAGGATATTCGTCTAGAAGTACATTGAACTATTTTGCGCTGATTTCAAGTCCTAGTGTGTTAGACTGCATAGATCTGTGATATAGTTAATGATATCTTTGTGCTATGAGGGTACCACTATCGGGTTAAAGGCTACCTATTTATACGTAAACGTTCGGTTTGTCGGTCCATGGACCATTGCTTCCGAAAGCCAGACATTAATGATTCATTGTTACGACAATTTTAGTACGTGTTCTATAACCCGACCTTCAATCCTGGGATCCGTTATGAATATTACGTGATGTCCAGTGATCCGTCATATACGCCTAAATACATATGGGATTTCACGGAGTGGTCCGAATGCACCGCTAAATGCGGTGGTGGCACAATGGTAATTTGGATATCTAAGTCGCTTTAATGATGCATAGAGAAACCATTATCGCGTATAGACGCGTAGTTAATGGACTTACGGAATACCTTATCAAAGGGTATAGTCGGATAAGGTAGTCAAATGTGCCCTTGAGTCGAATTCGAAACCCAATTCGTCAGATCCTCGATACACGCCGGCTCAGAAACCTACGTCGATCAATCGAAGAATAAAAGTATCGATAATTCGTTTTAACCGTAAAGGGTATAGCCGGATAAGGTAGTCAAATGTGCCCTTGAGTCGAATTAGACACCCAACTCGTCAGTCGGTAGCATATCCAAAAAAAACATCTCACACCAAGTTTCAACCCCCTATCTCATCCGTGGGGGTAGTAAAAGGGAAAAAACGAAATTCCGGTTTTTGGCCTTTTCTGTCTATTTAATTTCGTACAAAAATTCTGAAAAAATTCTAAAACATATAGAGGTCTAGGTAGCGCATATTATAGAATTTTTTCAGAATTTTTGTACGAAATTAAATAGGCAAAAAGGGCCAAAAACCGGAATTTCGTTTTTTCCCTTTTACTACCCCCACGGATGAGATAGGGGGTTGAAACTTGGTGTGAGATGTTTTTTTTGGATATGCTACCGACTGACGAGTTGGGTGTCTAATTCGACTCAAGGGCACATTTGACTACCTTATCCGGCTATACCCTTTACGGTTAAAACGAATTATCGATACTTTTATTCTTCGATTGATCGACGTAGGTTTCTGAGCCGGCGTGTATCGAGGAGAACAGTGGCAAAGTGACTCCCAGTTTCTGCAAAGACATACCGCGACCAGATCCGAAAAGCCGTATTTGCAACGCAGAGCCTTGCCCCGCAAAGTAAGTTTTACATTACCGTCCAGAATATTACTGTATATACGATATTCTGCTAAGGTGGAGAGTAAGCCAATGGAGCAAGTGCAGTGCCTGCGACGGCAAGAAAGGAACTAGACATCGCAAAGTGCAGTGCGTAAAACCTGCTGCGCGTGCAGGCGAGGACGATGTGCAAGCAAATTTCAACGCGTGCAAAGGTCGCGTGCCAAAGCAACAAGAAGAATGCGTCGGTAAAAACAAACTCGTTCAATTTTTCATACTATCTAAGCAGTATCTTAACATCTTTCAACAACTCCCTTACTCGGTCCTTCAAGGTAAGAGACCGTGTAAAAAGACCTGCCCGAAGAGGAGCCGGGACGTGAAGAAGGACGTTCCGGCAGAGAAGGAGAAGCAGCCGATATCCCCGAAAGAACAATCGAGACTGATCGACAAATTCGTGGATTTGAGTTTAGCTCGGTACCTGGAGAAGTCGCGCAGCGGTCTGTCGATCGAAGCGAACGAATTCGAAGGGACAGGGGACCTAGCCAAATTCCGACAACTTCTTCGTGACTGGTCGATCGCGGACATGGATAAGAAGAAACGTGGCACTTGCCCGAAGAAGTTTACCACGCCGAAGCCAGGTTCGATCATAAAGGACGTGGTATTGGAGAAGAACGTGGTGCTAATGGAGGCACCGTACGTGGACGATGGCCTTCAGGCGAATTTGTCGGACAAGGCGTTTCAGCAATCCGGTGATGTCGTCGGTATTGGCATCGACACGTCTCGCCAGAAGGTTTACAACGGCTCGAAAGCAATTCAGAAGATCGAGCATCTGCTTAATCCAAAGACCACGCCCGCGGCTGGCACTTAGAGTAACGCTTATGACCATTTGGCTCGTATGGGGGATCAGTGCAAGGGGATTTAATCTCTAGCCTTATGATTATTTTATAGCTATTATGTAACGTAGATCTAGATACTCATCCGAATTCACATATTCGTGTATAAGGCGAGGGGTTAAAATTGTCATCATCATAGGAAGTTTTTATTTGTATTATTCTATATAACTTAGCAAAATGTTGTATCCTAGGATTATGTATTTAGTACGGAGAAATATAGATTATGTTTTATTAAGCGCTTTGGTATACGTGAATTATGTTGAAAATTTCAAAAAATTCCATGTAAGTACAACAGGTCTAGTAGCGTTTAGTGCTGACATCTGTTGAAAATTTTGGGTATTAATAGTGTTAGCTATGATTCTCAGAATTTTCAGAGTGACCCCAGTTTCGTGATCTTGGAAGATTGAACGATACCAACGGGCTATAATATGTTTGACAAATTCATCGTATATTTAGTATCTGCATTAGGCACTACTAAGCTACAGATAAGTATGTTCCGTGCTGGTCGCAACGTCTTGTATTTTTTGTATATATCTAATTGCGTCTATTCCAACCAAAGTGTACTCGGTACTGTTGGTCGGTGGTTGCGGTTCGAAATCCTTTGGAAATTTTAAAGCACCAGTTTCTTCGTCGCGCTCTAGGATAATGGTGAGCGTTAAATTTTTAATATCTTCCTTATCGATCACGACTTCGCCCTTCTTCACAATTTTAGTATTCGTTAGCTTCTGGTCTCGTTCCGCTCGGTTTTCTGAATTTTTTCTAGCCACGCGTTGATCGTCTGTTTCAAACGAACGACGTTATTATTCAAAATTCAAGAGAAAGAGCAGAGAAGCAACTGTTAACACGTTCTACCGGTATGACATATACACAGATCCGTGGAGCCGTTCCGACTCATAAAAGTTTAAAAAGTCCTGCTTTAAAACGACGTAATATCGTTCGTATCGTGTATTGTTCGATGGTTCTACTTATTCAAGAACGTTAACGAGTTCTTACTTGTTCTCTTTTCAACTCGTGCCAGGACGTCGTCCCGTTTCTCCCGGTCGCCGCAGGATTCTCGTTCCTTCGGCTTGGGTCCTTGACAGTAGCTGTCAGCGATAATATCTACATCCTGTTCGGCATTGCCCACAGGACGTACGCATATGACAGCTCGCTTCTTTTCGCAGCCGAGATAGCAGGACGGGCATCCTTGCCACTCACCGATCATCCATCTGTGATTATCGTGATTGTTCTTTCAACGAACCGTGATCTATTTTCGTCGATCAGAATCATCGCGTCGGCTCGAAGAAACGCGTTTTCAAAAAAACTTTCTCGACGAGGACGTTACGTAATACGAAAAAAAAGGAAACCGGGACGTGGTTGATTAAAAAAATACGGAGAATAGTATGATACAAATTAAAATTGAATCCGCGACACGGTGTCAATGATTCGAATTTGATCCTATTCATCTATACAGCTGGGTCATGCTCGTTTCAATTAAAATATATCCGTAACGAGCGCGAGACACTAACCTCGGCAGACAAGGAGCCCGATGACAGGGTCTCACTTTCGCCTCCGGTTTCGGGATATTCTTGCAAAACATCTCGTCTACCAGGCCAGCGATTCTTTCTAAGCAACGAGGCTTGGAAATCTGTTCACCGGGTCCGCAGTTCGCGCTGCATTTTTCCCAGTCGACAAAGTCCCACGAGAATTCCGGCTTACGAGGGCTCTTCTCTTTCACACCGTACGAATACTTCACCGTCACGTTCTCTTTCGGTACAACCTATTGAACGGAATAACTTGGTCAACAAAGTGATGTCAGCCGTGTAAGAACGGAAGTAGTTCTACAGGCTTCGAGAAATACCCTGGTACTCGACCAGTGTTTGTTCAATGGAACAAAAGCTGTTTTATTAAGGAATTTCGTGTTTATATTGGAAAGAGTCGCTGTTGTATGAATTACAACTCCGTAAACCTGAATACAAATGTCATAAAATAAAGATATTAATATTTCTTTAGCAAATAAAATAACATAAATGTCGATACTTCTTACAAGTATATAAAAGATAACGATTCGTCAACGATAAAAAAGGAGCCGATTTCTCTAGCAGGATTCGAATCTCGATCAAAGTGACACATTACGGATTCTTAACGAGGCACCCGAAAGTAGAGTCTCCGAAAACACCGATATTCATATTTCCATGAAACGTACTGAGTAGGTTAATTAAATCCGCGTAATGTTTTCCGTGGGTTTTAGATACCAAGACGAAACTTCTAATCACCGGTGCAAGACTTTACGAGGTGTGCAGCGTGCGTAGGTGCGAACAGTCGTAACGAGAGGCAACATAGTTAAAACGTAATAGCAATTGGATGGGAACAGTCGAACCTTCCGTTTATCGCGTCCAAGGTGTTGCATAGCTCGATAAGAACTGTCCAAGACTGGACATCTTGTTCGAGATACGTTATCGATCTGTCCGGGTAGCTAATTAGCGGCGGGTCGTGTTCGTTATGCTTACCAATATAACCAAGTCTTTCATAACGGGTCCAGGTATGGTCAGAGCCTCCTGGTTCGGTCTTGTAGTTCCTAGCCACGCCTTCGATCCCGCCACCTCGAACATTCCTAAATGATCGCTGGAATATTATAGTTCGTGAATAATATTGTCCATATCTTGCTTGTTTAGGTTTCTTGATACGTAATAGGTGATACAAGGAGGGTTAATTCTGACGATTTCGCATCGAATCGATCTTCCGCTACGGCAGGGCAAAGTCTAAGAGGGTTGAAATAGGGTCTCAGAGGAATTGACTGTTGGAGTGTTATTAGTTAGGTTAAATTAAGCGAAGTTAGGTTGGGTTAGATAAAAGCGGGATTAGTTTTGAGGATTTAACGATAAACCGGTTTAACCCCTTCGTTACAGTAAAGTAGTATCTAAATGAGTGGAAGTAGAATTTTAAAGTACAATGAAAAGTTGTAATTCTAACTTAATTCTGAGGATTTCGCGATGAATCAATTTAATCCCGTTGCTACGATAGAATAGAAGTAGAGCTTTTCTAGTTTTAAAGGATCGAAATAGAGCCCTAGAGGGGTCACAAGGTATTATCTTCGGTATGGTCTAGAGGCAAGTAATCGAGTAAATGTCACTCGATTAAAAGCTCCAAGTATTAACGCTGCGACGATGGGTCATACTACTGTCGCGCCATATGAATTTTAATCGTTGCGGGTGCTCTACCGGCGTCGATCGTTTTAACGTCATATGCATTCTGTTTTTGTTCAAAGTTACTGCATCTTTTTACATACATCCATAGTAAAAAACCGATTTTATAAATTCTCGACAGAGATTGCCGACCCCATGTAAACAAGCGACTATTATATCTATTTTCGGAAATAAACTACCATGCACACGTTATTTACACGAAAAAGCAATTTTAATTGAAGTTTAATAACTGACAGAGAAGGTGTAATACGGTAAGAAAATATAATTGTATTACAGAGATGCATGCATAGCGTTCTATTTTCCCCTTGTTACTATCGGAGCCCCATTTGCGAGGCATTATGGAGCGGCTGCTGAATAAAAGAACAATTAAAGTTATTAGAGTGATCAACGAAAGTCCACTTACCCATCGATCAACGGTTTTCCGTCTTTACTTCGTACCATTATCCTGGATTTGGTCGGTTTGGTTTCCTCGACGCGGATATTCGTCGCTCCAATTGGTACGTCTACTATTTTCTTCGGTTCTACTATTGAAAGTTTTTCCTCGATTATTAGAAGTTTCCTAGCGGGCGGCGGCAAAGTATCGATTCGTAGGATCGCGGATAAGAGATTTATTCGTTGATAGGAAATATCGTCGGGTCTGAAGGGTAAGAGAACGTTGGAGATTCTTTTGGAAATATCTCGAAAAGTTCTCACACTTTTCACTGATCTACAGCCATTATCTGGCAAGGAATTTCAAGTTTTTTCCTCGCTTTATTTATCGCGATTACAGATTCTTCCGTGTCTTGAAACTTTCTCGTTTCTCTTCTTTTTTCCACCGAATCAAACTTTGAGCATCTTTCGACTCGGACATAAACTATTCCTACCTCGCGTGCTTCTTTTGTAACTTTATGATCGTAAACATCGAAAAAAGCGCAATGAAATTTAGCATACTGCCCTACAGCGTAGGAAGAAAAATGCTTTATACATCGGTTTTTAATAGTCCGAGATGAAAAATGGTTGCGCCGGCCATGTAACTAACGCAGGAACTTTTTAAAGGCGAGTAGCCATCGTAGCTAGTAAACTTTGAAAAATTTAGCGCACGCATAAAGAATAATTACGGATCGTTAAATCGTAAACTCGTACCTGTCTCGAGACTTTGTGCTCTGTTCAGAATTAAAAGAAAGAAAACGCCCTTCGAATGACCGCGAGTAAGTACAAGAAATGTAAAATCATGGATCAGAATATCCCGAGGAAAAGAAAGTAAATGATCGACCGGTGATATTATTAAACTCACGAGGTGCCATCCCGATGGTTATCGTGGCCTCTTTCAACCGACAAGAGGTGCCATTACCCCTGCAAACGCCACATACATCTTCGATAGCGTTCGATTCCATATTCAGATCGCAGGGTATTTCTCTGCAAATCCCTTCGACGCAAATGTCACGGATAGCCCTGTAGCAGGTGGTGCCATCGACGACTTTCGGTCTTAGGGAGGCCACAACGCCCGTCTCGCTCAGGCAATAAAGGGCGCATGGATTCTCGGAGGCTTTCAGATCTGTTAGCGGTCGATCGTTTAGCGAACTATCCAGGCGGATGCTGCATCAGCGAATTCGATCTGTTGGCAGATCGTTCGCGATTGCCAGTTTCCACGTACTTTCCGGTAGATTGTAAGCCATCCATCGGTGAACTTTTCCGTCTTCCGGAAAAATCCAGCTGTTGAATTCGGCGCATTGAACGTCTCGGAACGATGGTGCGTCTATGTCGCACGGCTGCCACGAGAATGGAAATAAAGCGAACTTTATATTCTATGATTTGCTCGATATTTTCAGCTGCAAGATCAGCCTTAAGCTCGATCGTTAACCGGATTCGACTTGTATCAGGAAAAAATACGCGTAACAACAATTTAGCGACGCGGTGCTAGTTAAGGGTGTTCCGTTACATTTACTAACGTTAGTCGCGCAGATTTTATGTCGTTTTCTTGCCCCCCGACAATACGCTCCACCGTTGGAAGGCGAAGGATTGGCGCATCGTCTGACCGAGAAAGCCACACCGGAACCGCAACTTCGAGAACACCGACTCCAAGGTGACCAGCTGCCCCAATCGCCGTCCACGACGCCTGGCCTCTCGCCGGCCATCAGGCATTTCATTCCATAACACCACTGCAAAGTTAATTATCGATCAATCCACCTTTGCCGATCTTCAATTTAATCATGCCATTTTCCTTTTATAAATCGATCTAATATAACTACAATTTTGATCGAAACACAAACTATGAAGCACAAAGTATTCTTATGTCACTTTTCCGTTTCAATCTATTCAAATTCTCTCCGTATAATTATCGTCTATTTTAATGATTCAATTTGTAATGGACATGGAAAGAGAGTCACGTCGTTGAATCGTTTTTGCTTAAAACGAAAAATCAATTTATCAACAGGAGCACTGGTTGCGGTCGTTTGATCACGCTCTGCTACGTGACACGACGAGACCAAAAATATTTTTCGATAATCGACGAATCGAGGGTAGAGAAAAAGTCGGAGAAACGTGATAGAACGCTCGCAAATAAAAACGCATTTGTCGGAGGACAGTGTTAAATTGTACCGTCGTGCTTTTACGTTCGCAGAATCTTTTTACTTTCTTAACGCCTTTCCCTTCTTTCGCTCTTTCCTATAAATATAAGGTGTGACACGAGACGCGATACGAGGGGATCTGGAAATTCCAGAATTCTTTACGGTCGCGCGCAGCTTAGATTTCTGAAAATGGCAATGTATAGAAAGGAGGGTTCATCGTTCGCTATAATACTCGAAAGAGCTTCTCTAGGGAGGGTGATGACATAGAGGAAGGATGTTCCACCTTTCGCTATAATACCCGCGAATTTCTCTAGGGAAGACGATCCTACTTTTCGGTGTAATACTCGAAAGTTTTCCTATCGTGCTCGTCAGCGTACCTGCATTTAATTAAAAGAATTAGATCCGGAGTTTCATTCGGGAATCGATATAGCTACTTCAGCCGAGATTCTCAAAACTTTCAGCATTCGCGACTGCTTTACATTGCACAATTTATTCGATCGATTTTCCACGCACTACAGTCGGCAATTATTTATTTTGATCGATGCAGAGCGAGCAAGCCTAGCATGTTCGATCAATCTCAGGCTTTAATGGATGGCAAAACATCGAGATAGAATGTACAGGAGATAGAAGTAGCGCGAAAAACAACTGCTCGCATGTCTCGAACGTAATGTCTTAATCGTAGGTACATTGAAATTCAAAACGATCAGAGAGAGATTTTAATCCTGTGGGGTTTTTATCATCCGATCCGACTAGACCAGTTTCTTTACCGAAGTCTGGCCGTAAAATATTTCGTGACGTATTTATACAGGATTATCGCGTATCTGAACAATATGTATCGTTTCTCAGACGGAGAACGTATAATTCTTTCGCAATCAGCCGTGTCAGCGAGAATATACCTCTCTGATCGTTAATCCTTTTATGGTGGAGAGTTGTTCGAAAAAGTTTCAAGTAATTCAGATACGTACACTACCGCTCATAAGTATGTGGACACTTACATTTTCTTGAATTTCGGTTACATATTATATGTTTTTATTGTTAACTAAAATCGTTCATAAATTTTAGTATTAATATGAATGTAATGTATTATAATATTACGAAATTATCAATTTATTTATTCAACTTTCTGAAATAAATATATGTGTTATTTTGCGTTGCGCGCGTAGAGTTTTTGGGTCTTTTCTCTGGCAGTTTGCAATGATTGCATCGCTTAAGTGAGGTCTGTTGCCTTCTCAAGAGTAACGTAAACATTTGTAAACATGATTATATAGCCAGAATGCCACGACACGAAAATGCGAAAATTACATCACGCGGTGGATATGTTAACGAAAGAAAAATTTAAACATATTTCATCACTATCGGTAAAATATTTAACAAATTATTATTACAATATGTTGTCTAACACTGGAGGAAATGGAATACATACACGATAAACAAATAATTCAAAGATATCACAATGTTTTCGGGCATCTAAAAAAATTGAAGAAGTGTCCACATACTTTTGAGCGGTAGTGTATGTAAATGATCGCGTTGACTGCCTCGTAATATAGATCAAACGATACGAGACGCGGTTTTAAAAAAACGCGATGTTTCTCGCGTGTAATTACCGAACAGTTAGCGAGAACGTTTATATTATTACTACCTTTTACTTTTCAAACACTTCTGCGAGCACTTTCAGAGTAATAAACGTATCAAATGAAATAAATTGCTAATTCCAAATGCAACTTTCCATATTTACGTTTGTTCGATATTACAGAAAAGGTGTAATACACTCTTCTTCATGGAACTTGGTGCGTTTACAACTTTCATTAACCGGCTAAAGTTCAACGAACTTCATCGATATCCATTGAAAGATATCGTTAATTAGCTCCAGCATTTTTCTAGGCAATAACTTACCCTGTTTTTTCCGCAATTGGTGCCCTCGGCTGGTGGCTTCCTGGCGGACACGCAACCCTTTCCGGGAATGGCACACCTCAGGGTTTCGCAGCTCTGAAAATGAAACACGATAACATTGGCAAGATGATGTTGGGGTAGTATTGTACCGATAATATCGTGAAGTGATATTCCAACTCGTACGAAGTAATAATGTCGCAAATAAGTAAAACTTTTTTTAAAACGTTAATATTGTATTGGAACGGAATTTTAAATAGCCGCAGCTTTGTATAAGGGAGTTAGGAACTATCGAACGTTAATCGATATTTTGTGTGAAATAAAAAGAGGAAAACGCGGACAGTGAAAGGATAAGGTAGACAGTTGGCAGAAGGTTGGAACGGTGACCAGCAGATGGTGCCTCATTGCGGTCAACAGTAAACTAGCTATACTTTAGGAAGACCAAACTTTAGAGTACTGAAAGTATTCGAAAATTGTTTAACAAAAAATATAATTTATGTACGGGCATTGTTGTACATGTAATTGTATATAAAATGAAGATTTTTGTTAGTCTACGTGTAATCACAAATGAATTAAGTTACATCGTGGTAATTTGATGCACTTAAACAAATTAGTTTCATTAATTTCTGTAGCATTCGCAACATTGATATATTGCTCTCTAATTAAATGCTCTGAGATAGAAAATTGAACAGAGTGATTTAACGAGTAGATATTGTAACGGATCGGAATCCAATAATTATTATTACACGTTCACTGAATCGGGAATCAGAAATATATATAATTCGTTAAAATATCAAACGTTGATTTAATTATACGTTCGTTAATGCATGTAGCAAAACGAAGTCTCTTTAACTTTATGGCTTTGGAATAACGTTCTTTTCCGATGAATCAAATATATATAATAAAAAGAAGAAGGAGGAATTTTCAGTTGCTACGTAACAGACAACCTGAAATTACCTCTTTGTTACGCGTTTCAGAGTTCCTCTCCCGGGCAAAGCGTAGTAAAAATGTCAGCACACAGATGCGAAAGTAACTTTTTGCTCAAAGTAAACAACCAGACAAATTTAACTAATTTAGTATGCGCGGAGGGCTTAATTAACCTGCTGAAGTCGTTGAACAAAGCTCGGAAGTGTTTGCAACTGTCGCTTTACACCGACTATCACAAATATGAATAACTTAATGAACAAACGGCTAATGCATTAATGAGAGCTTGTCTGTTCGCGCGATTGCGTCAAAAATAAACGTTCTTTTATTTCTGGGGAAACGGCGAATCTTTGTTCCGCGACTATTGAGAGAGCAAACGTTTAAACAAACTGTGCGTCCCTCTGTTTAATTATAAAGTTACAAACAAAACGGGTTGGTCCATTGTCAATGATTCCAAAATGACCAAATAATGAGGCTGTGAAAGCGGCCGCCAACCAATTCGATTTGCATTGGCCAATTCGTCCCATCGTTAAAATCTGTCAACGAGACATATACTCGTAACTCTTAACGAAAATTATGAAAATATTGATTTCTGGCTTGTCGATTGTGACGCGACGAGATTCGTGGCCTCATCGATCGACTAAATGAAATTCGTTTTTAATCTCTTCTATCCGTACGCTATCGTTGAACTTTTACGCGAATTCCGAGAAACATGACAGCATCACTAGCAGATTTATTAGCGCGGTCTGTTTTACATTAAAAATCCGACCAAAGGATAACGAATTAATTAAACTATTCCCAACTCGCTGCTTGATCGCAGTCTGTTAATTATGGTATGGTTATGTTATTACAAGTGTCGGCCATTTATTTCAGAGGATAGTGTAATTAACAAAACCCGGAAGAATTTCCATCTAAATTTTGAAAACCTCAAAATTAAAAAAACACAGGCAGATTTTTTGCAAATTATTAGGAGTTTAAAGAGGAATGTGTTAACTTTGTTTCCACGAATTCGCAGTATTCAAACGTTTGATGTAATTATATTCTATGTTCCACGGTACTCCATTTACACGAGTTCCACGAACATTTGCGAACTGTTAACTATGTCAAAAATTATGTGTAGTCGAACGCGTAGAATTAAAACGAAATTACACGTACAATAGACTCTCGTAATGTCATCGTGCATTGTATAGCTACGCGTTAGATCTCTACGCGTCGAGTCGTCAAACGGTGTACCGCTGCATAACATTGCATTAAAAGATACGCGTACCACACGACTCGATTTCGACAGTCATATATTACTTGGGAAGAATTCTATCTACTGTATTGACAATTTCGTTTGTGCGAAATAATGTCAAAAACAGATTTGTGCTTTTGTTTCTTACCATTTCTAAGTCGCAGTTTCGTGCACCCTGATGATATATCATTCGACATTGATCGTCCGCGTTGTACATTACTCCTGGAAGCAAGTTCGTAGTGGGGAACTCGTGAATGTAAGGCTTATCCTCCAGGCAGAATCCCAAACCTGCTCTGTAGAAACTTTCGCTCATGAAATTTTTATTTAAATAAATCTGAATGTTTCGAAGCTTTCGATATGGAATGTGTAGAAAGTCTTGCTTGACGCGTTGAGTGCTCCAATAAAAGCAAACAAATTCGACAAATTCAACAGTGCTTGTTACAGTCAGAGTATCAATTTTTATGCGTATTAAACTGTTTTCAGAATACGAGATATAGTAATTTTTTTTCGCGAATTCAATTTTCCAGCAAAGAGAAGTACTTTGCTCCTTTAAAATGAAAGGAACAGCAATCTAAAATCGATTTGATATAGCTCTATCGTTATAGAACACAGTTTCTTACTCGATGTACAATTTCAGAGACTTCCGCGAACATTTGGACCATTTTCTCGTGATGTACAGACTCCCGGGGTGCATGACCGTGGTCTCGATGTACCCTTTTCCATGTTGGATTATACCCGGGCAACCATTTTCCTTCTGAACATCGTGCGCCATTCCTAATCTAAACGCTCAACATTTTTTTTTATCAACGTTGCTATGTTATGTTCCAAAGCATCGTCGCTTTTGTGACTTTTGTACGCGCTTAAATCAGAAGTATTACGTATAGAAAAATGAATGGAAATTCGTACGTGTGTCCAATTTGATGCGCTACGTGGTATCCTGTGTGTAGACCAACATCCCTTACAACAGCTGCTCCTTTCAAAGGATCACAGGTTCCTGCGATGGTCGAGGTACCAGTGAAACCACACAGGCGCGATGTATCGCAAATGTTAGATCTGAACGGGTCGATTAAACGTTAACGATCGTTCGAGGTTAGATTGGATTCACTTAACAATCACGCAAATGTACTTTGTGATCAGAACTGCGCAATCATGGTGGTTAGGGTGCGTATCGTCGCCTGGGTTAATCATGTGCTGCCATTCTTGGAAGTATTTCAAAGTTTTGTCCGCGTCCTTGGTGGCCGCTAAACTCATCTATCAAAAACGATGAACAAGTTAATACGTTAACTGCTATTAGGAGTATATCGATAATAAAACTCCTTAATTATGAAAGTTTGAAATTGTAATTGAATCGCTTCTATTTTTGATAATCGATACTTTAGTGTACCTTGCTACAGATGTGCGCTTCCTCTGTAGCAGTTAACGTGTTAATCATCCTGAGAGTACAATTAAAACTTTGAACAAATAGTTGGTAGATTGTAAATATCGAAATATAAATACCGTTTCTCTTTAAGTTATTTAAAACTGTTCACTTATTATGGGTATTTTTTATACTTTCAATGGTCAGAATATCCTATTTTTAACGCGATAAAAATTTCGCCGTTAGTTTTATATCTGTTATAAATATTTAGTTAGAGTACTTCATCATCCTGGATATGCATTTTTATGATCCTGGCGATGCTCAGTTCCATCAGTATTCCTAGACTGACATCGTGCAGCAAACCTGCAGCCTGAAAAAAACTTCAAGTGCTCATCGATGTTAATTTAAAAAGTTTTCATATTTCCCGGAATTTCTTTTGCTTTTTAACTTTGCCTTCGTTAATATTACAACTTACTTCGTCGCTTGATTTTACACGATTAAAAAGAATCGAATAATCGTGAACTTCTTACGGTTAGGCGTAAAATGTTTAAAAATAAAATTACACTAAAGTCGTAGATGTGACAAAGCCGATGATCGTCGAAATGTTAAGACGTCTAAGAACTTTCGGTAAAATTGTAACAATCGTAAAAGTTTTACCAAAGATCACCTTACCATGTTGAGCAATGTTAACACGTAATTGCCAACGTCAAAGTTCTTGTGATAGTCTAGAACGGTCTTGTCGAGTACTAGCAGTAATTCGAGCGTGTAGGATCTGGCCTGTTTCCTGGAAGGATGCTTCTTCTGCGAGTTGAAAGCACGCTTGGCAATGCTTTTGGCCATATTGCCGGTGACGTTACACAGCATCTGGCTATTCCTTTCGAATTCATCCGGTCTCTTTTTGTAAACGACATGCGGATGCTCCGCTTCTTTCGTGAAATCGTGACCAGCCAGTGGCTCGATCGTGTACCAAGATCGTTTCGTCCTAATATATCCGGCCTACAACGTTTCACAGACATACACGCGACATTCGAAACAATTTTTTATTCGCCATCTTCCAACATATTATTTTACGCCGAATAAATCCGATGGGACATAGAAAGCGTAATACTAACGAGACCATAGCAAGTGGACAGAGCGCTGTTCTCCGATTGACCACGAACACGTCCTTGATAATGACACTGCGAGTCGCGCATCCGTTGCAATTTTACGTTTTTCAAGAAGTCTTCGTTGTTTCCGCTTTTGGAGTTACACGATCCTCTGTGCTCCTCGATAACAGCATCTAAATTAAAACGATGTTCGTTTACTCGGGTGATGCTTACAACTCCGTTTGCGGTAACATAGTGAGATTACTATATTCGGTGTAGTCTCGCGGGTGTAGTTACTCATCGCTGGTCTACACTCTTGTCCGACATTATCGAAGGAAAAGAGAGAATTACCACTTGGGAAAATATCCATCATTGGCATTCGGAGAGAAAATTCTCTTCCTTTCCCTCGATAATAAATTAAACCTAATCACGTTCTACCGCAAATGCCTTTAAGCGCCGAATAAAAATTGTGAAAGCGGATTCTGTACTCACCTGGAGCGACAAGACGATGATTCGGTCGAAGCTCGAGATGATGGTCCTCGCCGCCAATCTGCAGGCGGTAGTGAACGGAGTCGTCGGGAAGGGTGTTTTTGTGGGATCGAGCTGCGTAAAAGGAACGCTTGAAGTGATGAGGTATTTGATGCGACACGAACTTTCCATCCGCTCTGACTTTTCTTGGCACTATGATCTCGTAACCACCGGAAAATTCCACGTCCCTCGTGTAACGTCCTTGAAAAATGAATCGACTTTGACAGGACAGCGTTACAGGCGTGTTTCATTTTGTGGACAACATCCTTGACCGAAGAAGGCTTTAATTAATTGTTCGATCACAAATACCGGTTTTTCGAGAACTTTTTATTACAGGAAGAATGTTGCTTAAATCAGCCTTTTATTCGAAGGAACTCATTATTTCACGTTGACGAGAAAAACTTATTTTACTATCTGCTGTTTCGTGCTATTTAAAAATCTTGCTTTTAACGCGTAGGATATTCGATAACATGCCGGAGACGACCCGTGACCTTTTCCATTAATTCAAATTTCAATGCCGAGAAAAAATAATGTAATTCCACTCGATTTATAACCCTGTTTGCTTACGCTATGCTTCAGCTGCAATTTACGCGTCGTTTCTTCCGTTTTTCGTTCGATATATCCCATCGTCGTCGTCGTCGTCGTTGTTCGACGAAAACGGCTCGACCTACTTCTGCCTTGACTAACGAAAAATCTTGTGCTCGCGCAACCGCGTTTCGCTAATGAATCCGGTTTATCGTAGAAAAGAGCTCTCTTCTCGGTTTAATTTCTTTGCCAGGCTCGAATGACGATTAAAAATTTTATCGGTTTCGCGCCTCGACATCTTTGATCTTCTACCACCCGATATTTAAATAATGCTTTTTATTTAACCGCGTCATCGGATCGTCGATTGAACAACTTCAACAAATCAATTAACGGTGCATAACTACAAATTTATATCGTAGTTGCTCGTGTGCGTGCGAGGTTATAAATCTGTTTCAATTTCACATAGACAACTGATGTTTTCTGCGCGAAACCTGCCAGCAATTTCAAGCTATTTTCTCGCGCCAAATTATTTAATACGATTAGACTTATAGCTTTAAAGCAATTAAACAGAAAATTTGATATATCGCCACGAAGGAGGTTATAGAAGGGGAAATTTCTGTGTTGACAATATAACGCTTGTAACTGGTGGCCATGCAACGCGCGACAATCTTTAGAAGTTTCGCCGAATCTTGATGAATCTTGACTCTGATATTCCGGATTCCTATAGCGATTGACTTGTTCGAGAGTTTAGAGCGTATAACGAAAAGAATACCGAATGACTGTAGCCTGCAAGGATCAAGGCTGCCGCGTGTACTGTGCTCTCGAAAGCAAGAAAAATAGCTGCCACGTTCCAACGGAAACTCGAGAAGCTTTCTTCTGATAGATACCAGCAACTTGGTCTAAAAGGAACAGCCGACAGAGAAGAAGCTACACTCGCGATTCAACACTGATTCGTCTGACATTGCGAAACTTTTTCACTCAGTTTCATCCTGAAACTGAGCTACAATTTTGGCAGAGAGCTCGAGATTTGAAAAGCGAAGGGGATTCTAATAACGACTAGTCGTCCGCTGGAGAAATATCGTGGCTCCGGAGAATTCCTAGAAACTGCGCATGGTTCTTCCAACAATAATACGCAAAAATAACATGGACGGTGAAAAAGACTGTTGGAATCTCTCGTGAGTATGCAGAATCATATTTCTGGACTCGACACGGAGAAATGATTATGAACTGTTAGGTACGATCTGTCCAGTGAGAACTGTTCCGGTTTTAATAATTACAAATACACAGGTATCTCGTCTATTAAAAGTTAATACTAGCAAGTTATAGAGCATCTGTTTCATTTTAACTCGAACACTGTTTGATTTAGGTTATTTGATGGAAAACTCTAAGCCTTTAGCGTGCTGGGTTAAATAATAATTTAAGTACATAAGAGGATGAGCGTCGGATATTTCCACTCGCAAATGTATTTAATTCGAAATGTTTGCTGCTTTAATTAATTTTAATTAATTTGAGAGTACAGTGGCGAATACGTTTGGTTACACTTGGAAATGTATACACGCTCGCCTAAAATGAGCGAGGGTACGCATATATTTTGGGAAAAAGGCAGTCGTGAGTAAGAGATAAGAGAGGAAATGTGAAAATTAGCCAACGATGCAGAGTTGCGAAGTCTGCGAAAATACGAACGTAAACATACATCACTTTTTCTTTATAGTTAGGCGCGTCACGGTGATCAAATCAGAAGATACATGTTCTCTTCGTTACGATCGAAAGTTACGAAGCGATAGTGTTGCACAATTTCGTCGATAACATATACGATATGTTCAATTAAAATTTGCAATAAACATTGTGAGCCTTATTATAATTTCAAACGAAACAGATGCGCCATTCGCATCGCGAGTCACGATTGGGAACAAAAATAACGTCGCACTGCGTAATTGTCTGTCGAAATTCGTTTTGCACGATCGGCTGAAACGCTAATGAACAACCCGGCCGAAAAATGATTTTTTCCGTGAATACAACGCTTCATCGCGTATGCATAACGTGTTTTATCGATTCCGTGGAAAAACAAACACCTTTACAGTTCGTTTATAAACGCACGGAACATATCGTTAGGAAGACTCGCGATTAAAAGTATCGAATCACGCGGAGAGCAAACATAACCGAACTTATCATATTTTATATTTCGTTGCAAGAAATAAAATGTTACCTGTGCATCCGTTGACGAATCCTTTGCGATGAAGCAGAACGAACAAAAGAACGTAAACGAGGAGAAACATCGAGGGACTTTTGATCATCGTGTTTTTTCGTGAGAAATTTTTCAAAAAAAAAAAGAAAAAGAGAGAAGAAAACAAACTGGAAGTACGTTGCGTATCGAATTCGTAACATCGTTTTCGATAGTATTATTCTTTAGCGCGATTGTCAAAGGAAATTTTCGAGATTCGTTTATTGAAAGATTGCGGAGCGTTAGCCGCGTGTTGATTTGTCAGAATTTTCAACTCATTGTGGGTGAAACGCTGATACGAGATATATCTTGTTCGAAGTTCAAAGGAAGATTAATCGGTGATCAAAAATAGAAGGGAAGGGTGCTAAACGGACAGCAGGAATACGGTCTTTTTTCACACGGATATTTAATTCCACTTTGAAGGTACGATTCTGTACACACGGAAGGAAAAAGTTGCTTCGTCGAGCAGTTACAGTAAAAGGCACTCTGCCGGCCTCCTAGGCTGACTTACAATGGCCGTTCGATGCAATCTCCTTATCGTAAAGTTCAGATTAAAGCGGTAAAAAGTTTTATTCTCCCGGCCAGAAACTTGAGTTGCTCGCAGCAATTCTTTTCGTAACCGGCTCCTGCTTCTTTTCGTCTACCGCTCCGCCTCGTTCGGCTTTCTTTTCGTCGCTCTCGTTTCTTGCGTCTACAGGGCGTTTCCAATTTCAACGACCAAACTAGGCGACTGTCCGTATTTTTCACTCGGAATCGTTGAACAAAAACTGCCATATTTCGTTTAAAAAATCAAAGATAACTCCGACATTTCCATGAAAACGTAACACGCCGGAAAAAAATGGTACATTTATCATATGTCCTTCCCGATGATACACAACTCTGGACGAAACATTTTTTCGTACAACGAATGATTTAACGCCTATTTCAAAAGGGGCGATTCGTTTCGTATCGCGAATCGGTCAAGTAGTTTCTGGTTTGATTAGAATTATAAATAAATTCCGATTATTGAAAAGAATATGCAAAGCATGCTTTTCATTTAGAACTTTTCCAACGATTATATACACGAGTTGTTGTAAGACCATATTAGCAAGGATTCCTTAACACAGGAGTTCCATTTTAATATCTGTTCATTAGACCAGATGATGCTCGTACCGTGCTTAACCCTTTTACTATGAAAGAGGTATATAGAAGCGTGTATATACCTCGCGAAAGTTACCGTTTACATACGGAATGTGTTCGTATACAAATATTCAAGCTCGTATGTCTAGCAATGGGGATGCTCGAACTGCTGTAAGAGTATATTAGCAGAGATTCCTTACCACAAGAGTGCTATTTTAATCCGTGTTCATTAAACCAGAAATTCGTTGCACGTTTAACCCTTTGACTGCGGAAGATGTACACGTACAGGAGTATACACGCCTTGAGAAAGTTACCGCTTAGCTACGGTATTTGCATAGATATTATACTAGCTGTTCCACCTAACTTAAGGGTCTTAAATATCTCACTTGACTTTGACGATAGTGAAAAGTGCGCGAAGAAAAGAGCCGACAAGGCGCGGAAATATTCAACAATGTTTCTAGATTAACCGAATGAAAGGAATAATTTGGTAGAATAGAAACGATTAATGGTAAGAATAAAGCATCGTCCGTACGGTAGACGCTCGTCGCGTTGCGGTTTCAGAGAATTCCCAGATTTACGACAGCGATACGCTTTTATTTCCACGGTGCACTCGAACTGTAAGCCTCGTGTCGCTAATTAATGAAATTTCACGAGGGTACACGCGATAAGGTTTCGCGAGGACGTCGTCGCAAGTGAATTACTCGTTTCGGACGTTTTCTCGTTTTGCTTGGCTTACTAACCTAGAACTGCTGCCTCCTACTTTCGTCGCTTTCTCTATGATATGTCATGACCCTTTGAACTTTTCCACCTGCATTATCAGTCTACGATTTCGGACCATCTATCTTCCAACACCTTAATCGTGTTTGTTATCGTATTCAATTAATCATATAGTCTCTTTTTTCGTTTCAGCTTGCACACTTTTCATTTATTTCCAGAGAAGAAGAACGAGCATTATCTATGTTAAATGCATACCTATTTTTAGCGCTGTCGAAAGGCGTTTTCTCTTCGACAGAAGACTTTATCGAACGCTTCCTATAAAATCGGCAATCCGGATTTTTTTCTTTGTCGAGGAAACTTAGTTTCGACACGGATCGAAGAAAACAAGAGATCCAAACGGTAGTTTGAATTGCTAAAAGCTCGGTCGTTTTATTATTATTCTGAATATAATAAGTCGCCAGTTGATACGATTCTGTCAGTTCGCTTCCTTCGGTGAATTAGCATACGGTTCATCCTCCTTTCATCGTCCCTGTTTGTTACTCGAGTTCCTTCCCTTTTCCCAGTCTGAATTGAATTTCATTTGAGAACGAACGAACATTCAGGTACACTCGAGTTACGTGAAACCTTGCTTAAAATCGATTTTTTAAGCGAGAACAAATTTTTCGAATTCTTCCACAACATGCTTGAGGAACGACTTTTTTTATCCGCTGCGAATCGATATCGTCACAGTCGATGTTAGACAGTGGCACGTTGATCAAATTAGAAGGTGAAGGTAACTCCCTGATTTTGTAAGAAC